TCACATCTCCGCATCAGCCGGTCGCATCCGTCTACCGCGCCAACCGGTGTACGACAAGATATCAGTGCGATGCGGTTTGGTTCTGTCCGATAACGTCGCCGGTTGCCATACGACAATTCTGTAATCTGTCACACCTTCGTACCATTGCGACACTTCCAGGATAATAAACAGGTACGCCCCACGGTCCGAACAGAATCAAGAGCAGCCACGTTAATCAAAGCCACACAGAATCGGCGACAATTTGGATGAGTGCTTCAACGTCTCATACGCCAACTTATCGCAGTCTTCGACCCGTCAAACACGTGTGCACAGAGAAATATCGTCGCGTCCGTCAGATCCAACGGCACCGTGACAAGCAGCATAGGCGGCAAGATGTTTTCCAACTTCTGTATAGCTTTCGATAGATAGTTGCTTAATGAGAATCTGCCGGATCTGGTGTTCTTTCTCCGCACTCGAATGTTTTTCACACCACACTTGTTTTTCACCGTTTTGTAGCACACGGAAAACTGCAATCCCTGCAATCCCTACAATGAAAATCACCGCCATCACCAACGCGTAGAAAACCAGCCGAAGATGCACTGCGAAGATACGCGACAACAGGAGGAAACACGTTCACGATGCCGACGAATGCGAAAATGCCAGAGTGTCTGTTAATGAGAAGCTGTTGTGCTCGTACTGTTGCTGATAAAACTGCCGGAAAGATAAGTACGCCTATCACTAAATCATCGCCTGCTCATTATCCTGCCTAATCTTATACCAATCTGCATAGGATTTTACATACATAATTGTACCTGGATACCGTAAAATCCGATATTAACGCCCTGGGTCTTTATTTTTTCGAGAGCCTCGGGAGGGGACGGTTAAAACCGCAGAAGGCGTTTGTTACGGGGGGCGTCTAAATTTTTCAAGTGCGCTCATAATACATGTATGTTGGTTTTAACGAGGTTAATATGTATGAACATTAAAGGAATAATTCAGTAACCAAGACATCTATTAGAAAATCATGGTTTAACGAGTGTGCATAAGTGGAATTCACATAAATTAGCAAGATGTACCATTAGCCATTAGGACCACATCGGTAACAGACCAAAAAAGCGCGGCGCCGCAAATTACTAGGCGCCCCGGGGCGATAATTTCGGGGGGGGGGGGCTTTTAATATTTCGTGACCTACGTATTTCGTGGATACTGGCCAGAAGATATTAACTCTGCTGTTGCGCAAATTTTGTACAATGCACCATGCGTAGAACTGTAGAAGTATGCATCAGGCGCGTGGCAGAACTAGCGGCTTCAGCCTATCTGGCTTCGGTTTACGCCACTTGAGCGTGACTTAGCGCACGAGCTGTGGCAAGCAGAATCTGGTACAGAGCTGCCACAAGAAAACCTTAGGCGGGCACAGAAAGTGTAGGATGCAGCCATAGTTAAAAAAATCTTGCGATGTCACTGTAAATCTTGAAAACGATGTTACCCGCTGACATTGTGCGCGCTTGTTGCTTGCGGTTGCACAGCCGGATTCGGGAAAGTGGCTCAACGCGCTTCTTGTACCTTCCTTGGAACGTTAATGTCTGACGAGAGTTTCCGTACAGCCGTCGGACTACGAACTGGCTAACCAATCTGCAGTCCTCATCTTTGCGCTGACTGCCGTCAACCTGTCGACCAGTACGGCCAATATGGACTTTCATGTGAAACGTGCGCCGGACGTTTTCCTTTGCCACTCGTCTTTGAACGAAGTGATTCGCCGAAGTCTGGTTACTGCTAATATACCGGCTGTACTGGAACTGAGGGGGACTAACGCCGAGGACAATCGCCGGCCGGATGGTGTATCACAGGCATTCACAGCTACCCTGGAGAAACGGATTACGATTGGCTTGGGATGTAACATGCGTCGATACAGTTGCCTTGTCTAACTTTCTCAGCAGCATTATTAAAGCTGGTGAGGCTGCTAGGAAAGCGGAAGAGAAAAATGTCGAACTGAGTACGATTTTGCCGCTTTAGCTTTTAAAACTTTTGGTGTTGGCGGTCCAGTACATGGATTTCAAAATATTATCTAAATTTGAAGTTTTGAAAACATTTAAACTCGTAATGTAGTTTCGGGAATCTTCAGTTGAGGAAGAGCCTTCATCGAGCCGTTCGAGTGTTAGTGGCTAGTCGTGTTCATGTTGCTCAAAACGGGCAAGGTTATCCCTTGTACTTAAGGTTTTTTTCGTCTATCCCTGCAAGTTAGTGTGTCCTCATACTGATTATCTATGCGATCAATATCCCTTGCTTTAAGTCCCTTAACGAGCGACTGATTTTTTGGGATTTTATTAAATTAGAGTAGATCTGCATCGTCCTACTGCAGAATGCGCACACTTGACAGCTGTACTGGTACCCCGGAGGAGGTATGTATTGTATGTTACGCGTAACTGCAACTACATCAGTAAATTATTAGCATTATTAATATTAAACATGCGGCATAATGGACTTTTTATCTACCGGAGCGTAGCTAGGATCAATACTTCTAGCCAGCTTTCAGCAGTGCCCGATTCCCGCCTATCTGTTACGGAAGTATCTAATGCCATCGCTAAGCAGAGTACTATATCTGTACTGCACGACAGTTTCAGCGTATTCCGTTTAGTCTAGTGTATTCAAAAAAATTAACTTCTAAACATCCGAAATTTGCCGCATATCATCAATCATCACAAATCATAATCGATAAGCTGAAAGCTATCTCCATTGTAGCGTCGACAAATGTCCATTTTCTTTCAGTCTTTTATTGAGGGCGCAAAAACGGTTCTTCCGTGCGTACCCAACAGAATATGTGTTGCGATGCCGGAAGGTTTTCGGCTCAGTCAATTTAACATTACGCTAGCCGGAGAAAAACGCATGCACAGCCAGCAAGCGCAGTCACTCCCACCGAATCACGCATGCGTCATCATATTAATTTTAGGTTTTTCTGTGAGACCTTGCTATAATCGCATCTCAAAAGAATTCCACAAAGGCCTTCTGTACAAACCACTCACTGCCGTCCGGATCGGGTTGCACCCAGCATTCGACAGCAGCCGGACGACGCATTGGTGGACGTGATACATTAACCACAATACTAATTTCGCACGGTGTCGTGGCATCTTCGAGTAAGTAATGACATTCTCCCCGGGCATCATGCACATTGACACGAAATGCCGGGTTCGGTCCATTGATGGCCCTCAGATTGGGACGTAATTCCTTGGGAACCACAATAAACTGACCATCGAACTTCCACATATGATATGGTCCGCGTTCACAGGTGCAGTCGACATAGGCGGCGCAGCTGAAGATAACGTCGCGTGACCGTGTGGCGATGTTCTCCATCACACCGGCAAATATTTCTTTGGCCGAGCGACATTTCGGTCGCACCTCGAATTCCTGAATCATGCACAGTTGCGTCAGCGTGTCCTTGTCGTCACACTGCCGCAGACACTGTACGCTACCAGCCGCTGCGTAGGAAACATTATGGATGAACAGATAGCTGACATTATCGTGTGCTGTCTGAGTGTAGAAAAATCCTTTATGATGCTTCGTTGTATTAAGGGAAACCGTGATGTTTTGGTGCCGCCACATAATTGATGGCTGCTCATTTTTTGTAGCGTTTAAAAAGCAGGAAAACGTGGCAGTTGTCTGCGTAAGTGGACGAACGATCTGCCGTGTTGGATGGGTCTGAGGTTGCTTCCATTTGAGCATAGGCAAGACAATCCTGTTGTCCTGCTTTTCTAGTTCCGCTTTGCGGACAGCTTTTTCCAGCTCCCATACTGCAAGTCAGAAAGTGTACTGGAACGAGAAGAAGCAAAGCATTTTAATCATCTCATTCGGCACAGAAAATAAGCACGGAAGCAAGTAGTATGTGTCCGTTTACGAAAGTAAACGCAATGGCTATTGGTTACTGATTACTTTAGGTGTCAAAATCATGTGCATTGTCTACAACGTTTTCAGCGCACTATGCACGATCATTTCGATGAGGAATTTTCATCGAGGATTAGAGAAGAGACAGTTTAAAGAGTTTAACACTTCAACATGAAATGCAGGCGGGTTAAGCAGCGAAGAAAGTTCAAGAAACGTTCTGTCAACGGCCAAAAGAAACATGGGTACTGCGTAGTACATGATTACATAATACCGACGGTTTGGTTAGCACCGTCTATGACAAAGACGAAGAAACTACATCGGTTGTATTAACGGTTTTGCCGATTCGTGCATCGCACATTTTTGGCACAGTGTTTAAAACATTTTACCGGACACTGTTCGAAATTACACTATGTATGGGAGAATTTATATAAACTGTCGGCAAAAACATTCCGATTTTCTCGGAAGCGTCGTGCTACAATTACTGTAAACTTTATGTAAGCTAAACATAGGCGCTGTAAGCTTTCAGTACGATCTGAAGCAAGCTCGGAAGCGAAACTCAGTAAACGATACTAGTTAATTGGGTACAAGTGTATTGTTGGCACTCACGAGATACTGCATCATAATTATTCGTTCTGGGGACTGGATGAACTGGGCAAGCGATGCAGAGAAGCGAGATCAACCGTTTCATGAGGATGTAATCCAGAATAACAGCAAACAAAATCACTGTCCCTACAGTATGGGCAATTCGGTATGGAATCGCCGCCAATGCCATGAGCAGATCGCATGATTGTGACTGCAACGGCAACCCGGATTAAAATAACCTCGTTTTTGAGATAACATTCGCAGCTTACCAACATCTGTTTACTTATGACTTGATCTGCGCATGTTACTGGCGCAGCTCCCACAAAGCGTTACTAGCTGCGTAATTATGGGGTAACAGTAGCAACAGAAATTGGAACACTGTTTTTTTGTCAGTGACACCACATGAAAGTGCTGTCCAGGAGCGGGGCATGCCATACGCAAATATCAGCGAGGTTTTGTGTGAGTACTAGATCACTGCAAGCTAAACGCTACTAAGGTATTAGCTGGGATGTAATCCGATAAGGTAGGCGTGCGAACCACGTGTATTTCCGCTTCGCTTTAACGCACGATAATGCGCATTCAGAGACGGTTTAATAGCACAATTTTATTAATAACACAGCTTTACGTTGTTAGCGCTACATGAACAAACTGTAAGCAAAACAAATAGTAATATTTATAACAATAGAACTTGGTTATTATCACTCAACTAGAGAAAAACAATAAAGATATGAAACACCACATTAATTAACAGATCTAGAACGAATCGATTCGATGCGATTATTCGCATGATCGAAACTGTACTGAAACATACAAACATCGATAAAGCAAATCTGCTTCGTCTTAATGATCCTTTATGCGAATCAGGAAAAGCAAATTAATCACAAAAATCAACTGAAAAAATCGAGGCGCTTTTAAGCTAAACCAAACGCGATTTCGCATTTACCCGGGATTTTACCAAGGAAGATTGTGCTTTTTGGCGTAGGCTTTCACATGGTAATCTTTCCAGGCATTGAGGGAAGCCGTAACCAGGCCAGCCTGCATGCCGCGTTCGCGTCCCATCAAATGACACGCGGTGAAATACACTGCGAACAAAAAATGTTATTTTTATTTAAAACGTACGAGTAAAAAATTTTATTCTTTTATAATATGATGCTTATTTTATTGAAACTCACTTTCCACGGTCATGATAAATTCGTCACCAAGGAGGGCCTTGATTCCAGGCTGCTGCTTGTGATCAGAGTCTTGGTCCCGGATGAACTGCATCCGCTTCTCGTATAAGAGGCGGATGCCGTCGCCTTTGTAGTCAGCTGTTCCTTGGATGAGGAAGCCAATCAGCTGTTTCAGCCATTTGGCTGGCTCCCATGTCTTTCCGGAGATGACCATGCGGTTATGCAGCATTTCTTCGATCCAGATTGGATCTCCCGGCGCCTTCTTGACCAGCTCAATTTTCTTGGGTCCTTTGATTTCATACGGAAATTTCATCAAATGATCTAAAAATTAAATAAATTACTAAAATGGTTAAAGCGAAATCGCATTTTTTAACTGACCTTCCAGTTCAGCTTCGACCATGGGATCGGTTTTTCTGGCTTTTGGTGCTACAGCGACATTGAAAATGTTGATAATGCATCATGTATATTTTGCATGCATTTGAAGGAGAAATTTACCCTTATGCGACTTCGCATACGCGCTTCCACTACCAGCGCCTCCCAATCCTGAATCACCTCCATTTGCTCCTGCGATATCGCTATTTCCTAAAGGAAGAAGCTAATTCAACTATTTTTTTGAAATGGATAAATAAATGTCATACCTGCAGCGCGCTTCAACGGAGACACTGGAGGAGCCGCTGCTTTTTTCTTCAGTTCAGCTGAAAAACGATGTCAGTTGTAGTTGAACAGATTTAAAAATATAGCGAGATCGCACAGGTTAAGTTACCCGTTGGAACTGACGGAACAGTAAAAGGACCTTTTGCCGCTGGCGGAACCAATCCTTTTTGAGGAGATAACAGACGACATTCAAATAATTTGATTAATGCAATTTTGCTTAAGCACATCCTTTACCTGGAATTTCCATGGGAACGGTGCGAGAAGACGAGGAACCCGATGGGTGAGCTAAACAGTTCGCCGACTTTAGCGAATAACGCATAGATTTGAAAAGTAACAACTTCAAAAATCATTAATTACCGGAATGCGAAGTCGCTTGATCTGATTCTGGAACATTCTCAGCAAAAGGATCGAAATCGTCATCCAGCGCTTCTTCGGGTGCCATAACTACAAAATTATTATGAATACGTAATTAATATTAATATTATTAACGTAGGAAAAAATGGCAGGCTGCATTTGTGAAGCTGCAACTTACCTCCGCTATGTTCAGAAACATCCGACATCGGCTCTAAAAAATCAACCGCATTTTCTAGTACGAGTACTAAAATACTTCTACAAAATTTTGACACAAACCTTTCGAAGGGATTTCGTTGCCCACATTCTGTAATTCAGCGGACAGTAGTTTTTGAGCTTTCTGAAGCGAACTCGCATTCACAGTTTTGACTTTGTTCTGCATCTGATTGAACAAAAAACAACTCTGCAAATTAGCTTTATCTGCATGTTGAAAGCATTTAATAATTAAAAATAATGCGACATCGCTTAAAGTTCTGTATTCTGCAATATAGCCTTATACGTTTCCTACAGGTTTCAGCTAATGTTGGCCATGTTTTGTACCTGAAGTTGTTGCTTAAGGAACTCCACATGTTCGTCAGCTTCCTCCTTACTGTTCATGATGCAGATGATCGTTGCATCGTAGAACTGGGATTTGTGTTGAGCCTGCAGCAGTGTGCCAGCGCGCAGCGGAAATTTGTAGAAGTTTCCGGGAGTGGCTTTCAAGCGTTCTTCGCTCGCAGGCCAATGCAACACTTCATCGTCCACTGCGAACCTCACCACAATCAGATCTACAAAAATGCAAATTTGCATAATCTGGTGTTATGAAAAAGAAGATTTTTTTCACCGTTATTTTTTGCATGAGCTGCGAGCGCGCTTTTGAATGATGCAATCGGGGAGCTTTCCAATGGAGTGGGATGCGATTCCGCTTGAGGCTGAACTTGCACACCACCAGTCCCGCGTCCGCGCCCGCGCGTGCGAGTTCCGCGATGCATTATCTATCAAGAAACTGAAAAAACAAAGAGAATTCTCAAACGAATTTGATAACTAATTTCTGAAGTGTGAAAAGAAGTGAAGAGAAGATTCAGGAAGAAGTTTACGAAAAGTTCACAACAGTTGTGAGCTGTGCATGAAAGTAATTTTCATGTTTTCTCGCACACGTCTTGAAGGCTGAACATACTAGGTTTTTGAATCGAACTGAACGAGCTACGTTGCGACCAACCAAAATTAATATCGCAGTCCAGCAACCAATAGCGAGCAGCATCTTGATGTAAGCGAAACCGCTTTGACTAGCCACAAAAGTTTTAAAGCCACATTTACTATACATCCAGTTTCAGAATAATGCAATGTTTTTTTCTGAAAACTGTGGGAATTTTAAATCCGTTTTCTTAATTTTTATTTCTGTATTTTCGGTTTCTGTCAACGTGTAAAAAATTTTGGTGATTGTTCTCCTTAAAATTGAAGTAATTTTTAAGGAATAAATGGCAAAGCGAATGCGTTATGGTCAGTATCAGACTGACGATTTTGGAAATTTCATTATTCCCAGGACGACGCAGTATCGCTGGCGACTTCGCTCGCGCAATGACGACGTTGTGGATCGCGTCGATCAGCAAGTTTTTGTGGACAGTGATCCTGCAGATGCACCAGCTGACAATCTGGAGAGCGATATCGCAAGGTAAATGCAGTGCACATGAGAGATCAAATCATTTCACGATACGGAGCAAAGTGCATGCATGTAGCAAGTATGCATATTGCAGATGCGACGAAGAAACAAGTCTGTTTGCGGAGGCTGAAGAATCGGATATTGATGATTCGGAGTGCGCAGAAGCGGAATCGCTGCCCCTTAGCCTTAAAGAACAAATTCATCTGCTCATTCAGTTGCGGAAATGGCAGAAGTACCACAATACCAAGCAGAACTTGGGAGCAGACTTGGAGGTAGTGCGATCACTGTTTGAAGATCCAGGCGGACTCGCAGACTGCCAGTTTCCTCCGAACCTGTACTATTTGGATAAAATGTTTGGGGATGCGATCTCGCACAATATTACTTATTACTATTTCTGCCCGCGCCACTACTGCATCGTTGGAAGCAGAAAAGCAGGTGAAAAGTGCAATGTTGATTTTCCGTGCGACGGCATCACCCCCAAGAAGCAAGAGCCCCACGTCATCCCGTTGTGTGATTTGCACCAAAACTGCCTGCTATCGATGGACTTGGAGGAGCTGGTTCGGAAATTTTTGAGCGAACATTCCGCCGAATTGCAATCAGTCCTAGGAAAACGAAAGCGATTCCGCATCAATAGCACTGATGAACTTAACACGGGTCAGTTTTACCGCGACAAAAGTTTTGGAGATGATGTCGTGACTATAATGGCACATACGGACGGATTTGCGCTGACAAGATCGTCCAAATTAAAAGGATACGCGGTACAGTTTGTGTTTGCGGATTTCCCTGGAAAGAAGCGGTTCCGTTCGATAGTCCTCCAGAGCCTCTACATTGGCACAGCGACAAAAATCCCGCATCGCAAGATTGTGCTACGTCCTTTTTTATCCCAGCTGTATAAGTTATCGACCGAAGGGATGCTGATCAACTTAAATGGAGAAGATAAGCGTATTCGCATCGTCATGACTGCTGTGGTCGCGGACACGATGGAGCGACTTCCGCTTGTCGGCATTGGATCTATCCATGCATATGTCGGTGGCTGCACGTATTGTGAAGCCACCCCTGTGCGCGAAGAGAACCGCCAGGTCTACATTTGTGCGACTTCGCTTTATGCAATGCCTCGTACGGATTCCAGTATTCGTAGCCTGGCGAAAGAGCTAATGGATTATCCATTACATCACCGGGACGCAGCGCGAAAGGATGCAAATTTCACGGGAATATGTGAGAGCTCGCCGCTGGAAATGCTGCCGCATTTTGATTTGGCGCGTGGATTTCCTGTTGACGCCATGCATAATTGCTGCAAAGGTGTCGCACCTCAGATATTTTTTGCATGCAACGTAAACAAGAGCGGCATCGCAGAAATTAATGAGCGTGGCAGTGCTCTGGACTTCCCTAGTGTTGTTTCCAGGAAATTCCGCTCATTCGACGAAGTGAACCTGTTGACAGCAAACGAATGGCGCGACATCCTTTATACCGGGATTCATCTATTTCGGGGTGTCTTCACGCCAACAGAATACGAGGTTTGGTGTCAGTATTCTAGTATTGTGACCAGAGCTTTCCAAGATGCGATATCGCGTACGGATACTGAAATTATGGAGGATGAAGCGTACGACTTCGTGAGAAGCGCTGAAACAGTTTTTGGTGAAGATTTCATGTCCTATAACGTCCATCTGACACTCCATCTTGGACAATCCTGTCGCGACTTCGGTACGGCCGCGGGTTTCAGCGCCTTTCCTTTTGAAGGAAACATCGGTTGTATTGAGGAAAACATCCACGGATACAACCAGGTGACACGCGAAGTCGCTAATTCTTTAAAGTTGATCAAAATTGCGGAAGACATTGCGGAAAATTTGAGGCGACAACCGCAAGACCAATTCACACCGGCCATTTTGCGCATACTGGAAAACAATAGTTCTGCAAATTTGTATTCCAGTGTATGCAACGCTGCAGGTTGTTTTTTGATCGGACCAGCGAAAACGCACACTGTCATTGTCGGTGAGTGTTATTCAGCATGGGAAGCTTTACGAGACTACGCGGCGGAGAATCAGCTGTGTCTGGAAAACGTGAGTCATTCTGTGCATTCGAAAATAATTTTGAAAGGATTTGTCCTCAGCAGTGCAGAGTCGATCCGAGACCACTTTGCGAATGCTCTATTCTACTGCCGTTATGGCAATTTTTGGCGATTCCGCTTCGCAGTACATATCGGCGGATCGGTGGTGCTGCTTTGTGAACAAAGCGAAACCGCTCAGCAAAAAATTTACAACCTAAACTGCACACTTCCGGCTCACAAATTAATCCGTTGGAAAGGCGAGTTCGCTGTTCTCGGAGCGGAAACATTCGCAGGCATTGCGTTGGAGTTGCCGTACGATGACCACGAGGAGTTAACCATCGGCGCGATGCTACCACGGTTACTTTATTATTTTGATTAATACAGCGTTGTTAATTTTGGTTAATACAGTTGCGTTAATGATGCGTTGTCGCTTAACAGTAATGATGGGCGGTATTAATGTTAATAAATTTGATGTTATGTGTTTTCCGTTTGTCGTTAATTGTGAGCATTTTGCAGTAAGTTTCTTAGATACTATAAATAAATCTTGATTTTTTTGTGCCTCTGCGTGTAGGCTAAAGTGTAGTAAATACAATTAAAGTAAGTAACAGACTATTTTGTATGTTATTTGCTGCAAATGAAATAAGACTTCAAACTTCCTTACACAGTAAAGTCAAGACAATGCAACAGTACGTCAGCTACGAACTGAAGAATCTTTTGTTATGTAATACTGCTCAGATTTTTTCACAGCCAGGATATTGAGAAAGTAATCAGTAATCCATCGCTAACGGAAGACAACATCACTATAGATCAACAACAGTGCACACTGCACACCAGTAAACGGAATATGTAGGCAATCAATAACGCACGTGCAACAATGCATCCCTCTGAACAAAAGATCATAAAGAGTAAAGGAACTCATTCCATAAAGCAACAAAACACAATGCAAGATTCACATCAGACTATAACCATCATCAAAGCACAACAAAACTATTTGTTCACATGGAGATACGAAAGCGACAACGCCTAATCCACGACGAAAGTGAGGAAGAAACTTTTCGCCGACCCGTACACTTTAATGCCCGAACGCTGATACTCGAGTTTCCATCCACGAAGAATCCGACGCGACTCCGCACTCAAAACGGGAATCACTTGATGCAACCCTGCCCCAAAATTCACCGAACGTTCCCTGCAAACAGTCAATAAGAAAGCGCATTCGCAACTAATTGCATTAGTAGAAATTACTTTACGTACTTTCGACCATCCCATCCAGCGAAATGATCGCGCCCCGACGCAAAACAATTGATCGCGTGGTCAGCTAAATAGCATTCAACATCACATGAGGACTGACCGCGGAGAATCCAAGGTTGCCCGCAGATTTCACAGTCATTGAACAAGTTCTAAATCAATTCGGGAAGGTTATGAATGAAAGCGACATCGCTCAAATAAAAATTACCTCCGCTGTCCCATGCTCGTCGCCCAAATGCTGGTTTAGACCGTTGACCGTATAAAAGTTGTCGCAATCTCCCCGGTTCTCCTTGCCGCGGTAGTTCCCGGGGAACTGATTGCGGGCCACTTTATAAAAGAACGGACAGCGATATCGCTTTTCTCCGGCGCTATAAACATTCAGTTAGTTTAACTGTAAATCCATTTTTTAAAAGATTTACATTTATGAAGGCCAAAACTTATCTAAGCACTTACTGATGGACTCGCCCTTCCTGCAGCTTAGAATAACGGCCGACGATTTTTATGGCCCGCTCAAATGGCGTCAGGCTTGCAGTGTCAACGTTGGGAATAAACATTGTTGTATTCCAACTGTTGGGATCGAGACGATAGCACAGATCATTCCCAGCCACTTTCACCACCCCTGGAAGCCCAGCAAGGCGAAAAAGGGGGCCGATGATGTTCATTTTTTCCGCTTCCAGCAATGATGCATACCAGCTAGACAGATACTCGTCATTGCTAAGCGACTTCGCTTCCGAGGCATTGATGCTGGGGTTCAATGCGAGTTCGCACACACTGGCGGGATTTCCATTATTGCGTGCCACAAACCTAAGCAAATAATATCACGCCACGAGATTTAAAAAAACAATAAATACAAGAAAACAAACTGCAGCGCTTTGAAAATCCTAAAATCTAAAGCGATACGCCTTCTAATTATTTGATATCACAGTGTCACAACTTTCAGAACAAAACATCTAACACATAAAAGCATTATAACATTTTGTGAAATGTTTTATGTTTATAACAGGAATAAATATACTGCAGAGTGCTAGTTCACTTACCAAGCGAATTCGCCTACTGCCGCAGGTCCCATGTTGCGGACGACCTTGTACCCGACTTCCTCAAACGCATCCGGTGGAATCAGATAACGCTCCAAATACCTAAACATACGATTATAGTCTGCAGCTGTTGTCAAGCGATATCGCTTTGTTGTCGTTAATTTTCGTGTTTACCCGTAAATATCCGACAGTACACGTAGCCCAAACAAATCGCTGCGGCTGATGGTCTTCTTCTGCTTGCTCCGGAAGGATGTTTCATCTCCCAGACATCCGTAAAAGAGCTTCGGACAAAATTGTTTCACGACACGAAGCGGACGGCAGATTGCTGTGAATGGTCGATAGTTCTGAGTTTCCGAGCGATGTCGCACTTCATCGGTTGTTAACACAGCACTGCCTGCAACTGAGAAGGGGTCGTCTTCAAACCAGTCACCTTCCATCCTAACCTGCAGTGAAGACGTTGAATATAAAACCAAAAATAAATTCTAGTTTCGAATGTTAAGAACACTAAAAATCAGAATATGGAATACAAGGAAATCAAAACCTAAAAAGTGAAAACTTTGACTACTCGGGTTTTTGGTGTTCTGAATTCTGATCGTCACGAGTTCCTGCGTGCCGGTGCCAACCGCTCTAGGTGCTGCAGGTAACCGCCTACAGAGAAATATCAGGCAAGCGCCTAGTTCTGGATTGTTGGCTCTAGTAACATCACAGCTGACACATGCGTAATCGATCGCGCAGCCGCTGAGTTGCTTGTATGTTGGCAGCGCCCAATTGTTTTCTTAATGGCACCGGAAATACAAATTTTCAAATCTGCCGTGGAAACCGGGCAAGCTTCAAACTGCATCAAAAGGAAGAACTTAGTTATAGCCTTATAGTTATAGTTATATTATAGCATATCGACCGTTAATCGGCGGTAGAAGTACTTACTGCATTTTACAAGCTTGCTCCCTAATACTTTGTATCTAATGCATCAACACAGCGGCAAATACAAATTTACGGGTCACACCAAACTTCATATTACGGCACTCCACGCCATACTAGTTAGTTCTACTACATGCATAATGCATTTAGCATGGCTGATGCATGCAAAACAGCGTATATGAAAAATATGCGTATATGAAAAACAGCGTATATGAATTCTAAGACATTAATTTTTCTCCTTTATATGTACTTAAATACTGAGACGAGTAAATTTGGCATTGTGGTAGACGTACCTGTAGTGGCAATCATTCATAGCGCCAACTTCGCAGTAAATACATTATATGTCAGATTTGCGTTAGAAATTACAGAATATACTTGTGCAGTGAGACGTTGTACTGCAGATACCAATTCAGCGCGGTACATAAGCGCTGCTGAGGAAATTAGGCACGATGAGGGCAATCCAAAAAAAGAGGTTGCATCTGCCTTCTCTACCCGTTTGTATCCATGTCCGCGATACTGGAAATCTGCACGTACTGCTAGGATAAAAAGTTAAAAATGACGCCCCTGACACAATTCCCACGCGTATTAGGTTTGGAATTCACATTCTAAATCCGCTGGTTTAAGCAATTAACTGCAGTGCATGAACATTGAGTGTACTGTCCCATCTCAAAATGCAGCGTTATAACCGTACATCCGTGCAAAACCGCTTGGCAGAATCTGAGCTGTTAGAACAGCCTGTAGAAAAGACGAGGTTGCTGAGCAATAAAATTAGTACGAGTACATACTCATTTTGTTAAATTTAAGCCGGCGCGCCGTATCAAGTGACATCTTTATTCGCTTCAAGGAATCCAGGGATACACATGCCGTAATTATGCCTGGCGCTTCATTATCAAATGGATTCAGTAAAACAAAGCGTGAGACCGAGTATGAAAGTTTTGCATGTTCTATATGCAAGTTTTGATGTAATTTGTACATAAATGTTTGGAAGTAAATACCCTATTCAGGTACTGACGCCGTACGAAGTTTGTAAAAGAAAAATAAGGGAAGTACTTATTAAAATGAATCTGTACAATGAGTGAGGCGTCGAATAACCGCGTAGTCCATATCTCTGCGTTAGCCGGTCGCATCCGTCTACCGCACCAACCGGCGCATGATAAGATATCGTTGTGATGCCGTTTGGTTCTCCCCGCCCGCGCCAACGGCTGCATCCGCCAATTCTGATACACCTTCGTACCACTGTGACACTTCCAGGATAATAAACAGGTACGTCCCCAAGATACCCAGCACCTGCCCAACATAGACATGATGTAGCGCTTGTCTAACGGTTCACGTACAGAAAAATGATAAGTGTGTTGTAGTCTTAATGTACGAATTGTAGAAACATACCACAAGTAAAACGTTCCGATCCAATGCAGTGATATTCCACAATGTTATTACTGGAGGGAAATCCTTGATTTGAGCGGCTCGCTTTGTCAGCTCGTGCTTAAACTTGTTCTCCAAGTCTTCATATCCGATGAACTGTATTATTTCTTTGACTATTCGCTCCGCCTGGATTGAACGAACATACACCACATTAAAACCATATTAAAAAGCAAGTACATAGTTACTTCTTTTATAAACGCCGAAATTTTGTAGCGGTTGCGAATAACTAGCAGTAAAAGTTAAAATTCTTCAATGATTAAAACTGTAGTTGTGTATCACTTTACCTGTTGCTTTAAGTAAGCCGACGCCGCAATCGGGCCGAACAAAACCAAAAGCAGCCACGTTAAATCAAAGACACACAGAATCGACGACAACTTGGACGAGTGCTTCAGCGTCTCATACGCCAACTTATCGGCAATCTTCGACCCATCAAACACGTGTGCACAGAGAAAGATCGTCACCGTCAGATCCAACGGCACCGTGACCAGCAGCAGCGGCGACAGGATCTTATCCAGCTTCTCCACGGCTTTCGATAGCGACAGATGCTCATTGAGAATCTGCCGGATCTGGTACTCTTTCGCCGCGCACGAATGCGTCTGGCGGAACATATTCTTCACCGTTTTACAGTACACCGAAAACTGCAGTCCCGTAATGGAAATCACCGTCATCACCAACGCGTAGAACACCAGCCGAATATGCATCGCGGTGATGCGCGTTACCAATAAGAAAAACGAGTACGCCGACTCTAGCAACGAGTGCGGGTACGCCAAAGCGTCCATTAACCAGAAACTGCTGCTGAAGATGAAGTATCCGAAAAAGAATGCGCTTAACACCGTTAACATCGAGGACACCGCGGTCTTGTAATTCCGCCAGGGTTGTTTGACGAATACATCGTTACATAATGTCGAAATCATGCAGATCACCGCGTCCAGTTTGCGGGTCTTCCAACAGCACAACGGTACCACGATGGCGACGGAGAACCGGAAGCACACCATGGTGACGAGACGCAGTTCCGCCGCCAGTCCCACCGGGTTGGGTTCGTCCACCTGGTGGATGCAGGTGACGATGAGACGCTCCAGAGCGGATGCCAGCATTAGGAGAAACAGGAGCACACACGGTATCCACGATACAATTCTTATAGTTTTCCCAAACTTGGTGTGGCTGGTTTGCCATGGATAAATGCCGGCTAAGGTCAGTAACGGGGAGAACCGCCGGAATTGCCGGTATAAAGTGGTGTTGGGGTTCGGGTCGGCGGTGGAGGAGCCGGTGTCGATGGCTTCGCAGTCGTTGCACTCCATTTTATGCACGTGTACTGCAACTACTGAAAAGTGCAAAGAGGACGCCGCATGTCTCGTGCAGGCGATATATTCCGCTAACGGTTATTGTGTACAGAGACAATGGAATATAAACGTCAGCACTGTTTGCTTTCCGTATTGATTATCTGGAACTTGCTGCGGTGTTTGAAACGTAGAGAGAAATCTTATCTGTATTGATCCAGCAAAGCAAACAAAATCCGAACGCTGAATGCGGTGGTTTCCGTTCCGTCCTTATCAGCATCCTGCACGGCGATAGCAGGACTCTGTATGATATCTCAACGTTGCTATTACGGATGCCTGCAAGGCTATAATCAGGTACATCATCCTGGATTGAGGAAAACTAAAGCTTTCTTCTTTCTAGCTTGTTAAAATACTTTATAGTAGAAAAAAACACCGCGAACGATTTTTACAAACACTTTTGACAGTTGAGTTGGATTCTTTAGAACGGAGAAGTAGAAGTTTGTTCTGGTACCGACTGCTTTCACATTCATAAACCGGCAGGTCCGAGTTTGTCAAGCTATGAGGCGCTTCAACTACAGTACCATAGTGCCAGTTGCCAAGATAAAATACACAGTGGTTTTAATCTATAAAGATAATCATTTTATGGGCACTGTTAGGGACTTCTGTTGAGAAACGTAATTTCCGACTGCTCTACTCCGCCAGCATTTTCGAAAACATCGCTCAGTTTCTTTAGCTTAACTGGTAGTGCAAATCCAGAATTTTCCATGGACCATAGTGTCAGCTACGGATGAAGCGCGATGAAAATTGCAGAGCTTCATTTGTAATGTGTAAACTTTTAATTTCTGTTTGGCCATGTCTTACTGACCACAGCAGATGAAAATGTTCAGACAGATATGCTACCATAGGTTTAGATAATTATAGTGATATACTAATACACTACTACCCTTCTACAAAAAATGAGAATTTTCTTGATTTGGAGCCGGCCTATGTGTCCTGATTAGTTAACCACAAACAAGCGTGAATAGTTTGTGGTAGCCGGCAAGGAATTGTATGTATTGCCCACTAACAAGTTTAAATTACTCGTATCAGAATGAAGAACGTAATCACTGAACGTTATTGTCAAATGTCAACAGCCGAAAGCAACAACAATTACCAGCTATTCTATCTAAAAAGCAGCCGCAACTTCATTAACAACTTAATTTTACACAGAACCACATAACATTAAAATGAGTAAATATTATTTTCATGCTACAGACAAACTCTGTCATAAATCTTGCTTCCTCTGACCGAGAAAACTTTTGCACGTCCTGTCATAATAACAAACACGCACAGAAACACGACAAACGTCCTGCACAGAAACACGACAAACGCTACACAATTATCTACGCCGGTACAATGCAATTATCTTCTTGTCGTACGGGTTATGAGATCTGTCTTTCTCATCAAAATCTGTATTATAGCCCCACCCAGTCCAGACACATAACCAAGGATTCCATCATTTTGCACCTTCCCCGTATTTTTCAACCGGTAACTCAACCCCGCAACGGAATTATCCACTGCACACACACCGGACACCGAGAAAAACGCCGGCAGCCACTTGAACCAGCCTCTCTCGTTCGCAGTCACCCGTCAAGCAGTCACACTCAACTGCCAACTGTTTGATTTCCCCATCAACACAGCACTGCGCGCTCTACATTGATTACTCTGTCATTTTCACATCTACACCAGCCACCATCTGGGCATCATTTAGAATATTATAACCAGCTGAATCAAGCCGTCGCTGTTTTTTTTACGGCGCCATTCCCGTCGGGTTTTTTGACATATTGCACCTCATAAATTATCCTAAAAGGACGGTATCGACAGAGCTTAAAATCGGGGCGCATTTGCGGCAAGCGTTCTAATCACATCGGATTACGCCGGATGTTGACAACCCAAGGAAATCTGACGCTGACAGTTACTCCAGTCGCGGAGCAAAGCAAACACAGGATCGGTTGGAGCGTGCGGCGTTTATTCAGTAAGTAACATAAATCCCGGAGTGTTTGGCGTGTCTTACATAATGCCTGTTTTCTATGCCGGCGTTTTTTCTTTCCTTCACGCTCCGCTCTTCTCAATCGACCTTGACATGTTAGTGTGTGAGAAATGCTGTTCGGTTCGTTGGTACACTTTTTCTACATCGTTTTAGCGCTCTGATTACAGCTGGTTATAAAAAAATCTGCGATTGTTAGCGCAGCGCCGGTTTGATAGGCTTTTAATCGCGTTTAAATTGCGCTTATTTATTGAATGGTTGATTCTGAGAAGATTCCGTGGCGGTGATATTCGGCGAAGTTGAAAAAGTTGTTGCGACAGCAGATTTTTATTTGGCCGGCTTACGACACTCGTTGGAGTAACAATCGAGATTTTTAGCAATCTGAATATTTTTATTTGGCTGGCATTATTAGTGGAAATACTGTCGCCGTTTAAACCGATTAACACTGTAATTTCAAGAAATTTTTCAAGCTGGAATATTTTAAGCTACATTTTATTGGTATTTAATAAAAAAGTATTTTATCGAAGTAGAAGAAATTTAACTTATTAATGTTTTAAATGATTCATATTTTGTTTGCATTATATCTTAAGAAATGTTTTCTAAAAAAAATTTGAAAGTATTTATTACTGTTTAAAAATCTGAAAGTATTTATTACTGTTCCTGTTTATAAATTATTCCATAGCTAATTTTAGCCTAGAATTAAATAACTGCCTAGAATTAATTTAAGGCATTACTTCTTAAACATATTTGAATTTTTAACAACTAATATATGCTTTTGAATTTAAAAGAATCGTCAAGGATAAATTCTCCGGGATATATAAGCCGGGATTTAAATTCGATCAATTTGGATATCGACCGTTGGGACAAATATTTACACAGCATTATGGATCTCTCGCCGGCCCTATCCGCGACCGTTATCCCGGAATCGCCCGCTGCCAAATTAGAGAAAGTGAAGGCGCGATTGGCCGCCGAGCGCGGCATCAACAAGTACCCGTCGGCGGCCGACACCGCCGCACTGCCGGCCGACATCTCTCCCCGGCCGGTGAAATCACGTAAACACCGTCAGCGGAAAGAGCTAATCCCGCCGGATGATGACCACCTGGGGAGCGATAGCGCCGGTTCCGAGGAAGACGGCGAACGGGATGATGCGCTAACGACGAACGGGCAGCGGGAGGCCAGCCCGTCGTTGCTGGGGCGAGTGATGGGGCAGACGGTGGGCGGGGTCAGTGCGGTGGTGGGAGATGTGGCGGCGGCGATCAGCGGCGCGGTGTTCTCGTCGGCGGTGGCCATGCTGGAGACATTCGGGGGTGCGTAAAAACTCAAAAAATTTGAAATATTTCGTTCTTATTACATAAGGTTTACTCAAGTTGCAAATAAACCGACAAAATTCTACCGAGAATATTTATCGGTTAAAAATTGAGTTTTAAGTGGAAAAAACGGTAATTTTGTTTAAATAGTAATTTAATTTCAAATTAAAAATTAGATATATAAAAGATTTTTTCGGTAAGCTTAAATTTTCATGTGTGAAATTCTGGCCGTATGTGTGCAGGCCTAGCTTGCAGTAGCCTCAGTACTACGAAATACGCATGTTCACCAAAAATCTTAATGTTTGTGCAATGCTAATTTTTGGAATAACAATAAGCCGAGGGATAAAATTTTACCGAGAAAATTTATCAATAAAGTGGGATTTTAGGGGAATAAGTTGTTGTACGAAGTGCTTGTTATGGATAAAGCAATAAGCGAAGAATTATTTCAGTATACGTATCATATTTATACGTAAACAGCAATTTAAGTTATTTTTTTTAACTTTATGCTGGGTTTGAAGGGAACTATATTTTCCGTAATCCAAACAGTTTTTTTTGCGTGATAAATCGTTGGAGATTTACGTACGATATTTCATGTGATGTCTTTCTGTCCCTGTAAAGGGAGCAACTTGGGAGCACTTCTCTAATGACCTCGTAAAGATTTTGACCCCGTTCAACATACATGCAGCAATCTTGTGTATTGAATTCTCCTTTTTTTCGTCTCATGATGTGCATGTTACTCCATCCTTCCCCGGTCAGCGCTAATCGATTAATCAATAAAACCCATTAAATGTTTGCGTGCTGCTTTATGCGTTATTTGCGCAAATTACCCGTGCACTAAGCAGTGTATGCACCATGCAGCAATTTACTTCTCCATTTACAAGTACAAATTGGATTCCTTATGTAATAATTCAGGTCGGATTACCGGTAACATAAATAACGGCTCTATTTATAGATTTTATTTAGTCTACATATAAAGTATGCAGAATCATATAATCTTTTAATGTGCTATGCATAAATAACAGCTGAAATTGGACGCTGTTAATAAATAATAGGTAAATTGGCAATCATTAAAGTAATCATTATAATCTAATCATTATAAAAAAAAATGATATGTAATCATTGTAAAAAAAGGAAATATATTATAAGAAGTGGTTGTAATTCTCATAAAAATTAAGAACGAAATTAAAAACAAAAAATCCGGGAATTTGTGTTTTAATAGCAGGATTAGCAGCTATAAATAATTAACAATTATAAATAATTTTTGCCTGAATTTAATTTATAGGCTATAAATTACGTAATTGATTTTAACTAAGTACTCAATCATTATAAAGAATAGATACTTACTTTTATTTATAAGCACTGGTCTTCATAAACATACAGATTTAAAAACAACAATTACCAGGAATTCGGGTGAATTTTCCAGACAGCATGTTTACATGCCGTAATTACGCTGCGATGATCATGAATCGCCCCGGAGCGCATCGATCAATCATCGCGGCAATCTGGCCGTCTATATATTCACTTGATAAAATGGCCGTATTATTGTTTATGGTTCAGCGGCAACGTGCGTCGCTGCCACCCGATCAGACTAATGGAATTTCTTCCAGCAATTTTTTATAAAGCGTAATCGGCCCAATTGTATTATCTTAGGCCCAGTGGAATCCTCCGATGACGAGACAGAGAAGATCCTCTCCAAACCCTCCATCCGCCGGCCAGACGAACCGCACCCGGCCGATGAAGCGGAAAGACGCGCTGATCCCGAACACGAGCGAGTGGCGGTTGAATGAGCGGCTGCAAAAAATGTCGGGTTTGCTGTGGTACTCAACATATATATTGGCCATCAACGCCGACGATGACCCTTGAGTTTTGTTCTTCAAAGGCCGCCTACGGAGAACACTCTATGTGAAGTGTTGGCAATGGGAATTCAGATTTAATGGGCTTTGAATTAAGTTTTATTTGAGTTTTGCGGATGTGTGCTGCTGAAACACGTTAAGTTATTAATGGTTATTGGCTTTTGTATTGGGCTGGATGTATTATCCATCGTAATTTATTTTCGGTATTAAGTAATATAACTAGGGTCGGTGCAATGTTCGTCATGGTGTGGCGATTCTGCTGACACTGATATGTCAATCAATGCGAGTAATAAACGATATCACACTAGGTTCTTTAGCGCTAGCCAAATCGCAATATTTACTTACACGAACCAGCATAAAAATCCACACTATAAGAAAAAAAGTGCTACGACGTTTAAGTAAGCATGAGCTTGTTGTACCTTATATTTTATCCTGCATTCATGGAGCTGGATCTTAAGCAGGGAATGTTCAAATCGATTTCGCAGAAAAATTACCGTACTTTTCACGCGTTATTGCAATCAGATGAGTGCAAGCGAGGACATTGAAAAGGTCAGTAAATAATGTACTTACTGTGTGCTCCATTACTGCTGGGGCTGATGCTCGCCGTAGTCCGTCCATTGCGTTGCGTCATATCCCGTGCCTGGTTCTCCATGATGCCTGCAGATCTGTAGACTGTTCCCAGCGATGAGTAATAATCCGCTGGCTTCTTTAACAAAAATGGATGTCTCTGGTATCCGCCATCAAGCTCCAGCCGAGAGCTTAACTTACGGGGGTGACGAAATCTATAAGAATAAGACATCAGATGAGCTGCGCTACAAATTACGGGACCTGAGAGCCACCCGGTACTAGAGAAGCGTCGCTGACCGGTGTCCGGTGATATGTATACAGTATTACAGAATCCGTGTGCTGCTACACGATATTATAGCAGATATACTCGTAATAACAGTTATGCAGTTTATATTCGCTAAACGGCAATGCCGTAGTTTGTTTTAACAAAATGCGTGTGAAGACATTTCAATGTTTACATTAATAATTAGTGATTCGGCAGTGAGTCTGTGACTGGAGGCTAAATCACCCACCAGACAACTGAAATTCTGCTGATTGTGATCCGTGCCATCGGGTGACTAACAAGCAGATTACGCCGTACAGAAGAATGAACAGCTGGAAGTCGTTAAGCAAACCACGGTTCATAACGCCGGCTTAGCTGAAAATATTGACAAACTGGAAAAAAGAACGACACCTTCCCCGCAAATTTTTTGCCGGCCTCAAGCGCTGGCTCTACAAAAAGATTTTTGCTTAAAAGCGAAGCAGCAAACTAGTAATCACCAACTTGCAACATTTAATAAGGCTTTATCAATTTTATAAGCGTATTGCACTACATCAACCAATATGGGTGTCTCCGGCAAGCCGTTGCTGTTGTCGCTTTTTCTGCTGCTGACAAAACAATCGGTTTTGACAACAAATCCCTGTTCGACTTCCAATCCGTTAGGAATCTTTTGCGGCAGCTTGACTATTCCCGACCAATTCAACGCCAGTCAGTTTCCCACGAATACTACCATGCTGAGCTTGGGCGATGACAAAGCCCCATCCTTCCTAAAGAATGCGCCTCCATTACCGGCGTGGCCCAATTTGCAATACGTCACTTTCAACCGCTTCGAATTCAACGACACTAACACCATAAAATCCTGGTTGTCCAATGTCAAGAAGACGGTAAGGAATTTGGAGTTTGTCGGCGGACGATTGCCCTCACTGGATTCGGGAATGTTTGACGGGTTCGACAACTTGGAAACCCTCCGTGTGGATAATGCCGGACTGCAGCGAATCCAACCGGGAGCGTTCAAGGGTACACCGGCGTTAACGGAGTTGCTGTTAAAAGGAAATCAACTGAAAGAGCTGGATTGGTCGGTTCTTCCGGAAAACGTTGGGGTAAGCTGGTTAAATGATCGTTAAGCCCAGTTATTCAGTGTCGGTCTGGGAATTTTGTAATGATACTCTATGTGAACGCCACGTCTGGCTAGCTGTAACTAATCAAGCTGTACGCACATTTTGCTCAAGGACGAGCTTCTGCTTTAATATAAATAATTCTATATTTGTTTATTAGTTGCTGAACGCCCCGATGAATTCCATCACCACCCTCAAAGTCTCATCACCTCCGAATCTGCCTAATCTTCATCACGCCAATCTGGGAGGCAACAACATCACCGCCATACCAGCTGAACTGATCACTTTCCTTCGCAACGGTGCCCGCTTTCAGTCAATTCAAGTGGATTTAGCAGGAAACCCACTGATACAAAACAGTGACCTTTGCACTACTACAAAGCTGCAACCACTTCTTCGTTTGGCTGACGAGAAAGTCCAGAAAGTGGATATTTTCTTGACTTGTGGGGACAATCAGCAGGCATTCTGTGAACCTAATAATGCGACATCAAAAGAGGCGTTCCAGTGCAAAGGATGCTGGAAAGCGCTGCCCTACGAAATGGTGGCGTCCGCGTATGATGTTTGCCAGCTGGGCAAACAGTCCTCCACGTTTTGAACTCGATATCTTAATTGGACCTTTACGTACTTAGCGTGCTACGTAAATGTAAACGGTCAGTCTTGTTGCCGAAAACTGTCATTTAAGTCGCCTGGTCGATGTAAGCAAAGGTGACGGCTTAAACTTTACCGCGAAATAAATTCAACACAGAAAAGTAATTTAGAAGAGGTTGTAATTATTGCATTAGTTTACGCTTAGTAATAACGGGGTCTCAAGTTTTCAACTAACCGTAAGTTAGAGTGCAAGCTACCACAAAAACGCCGCGGACGATCTGCTAGCAGGTTATTACTCAAAACTATCGGGCTCAAAGCAAGAGTGAAGTCGAAAACTAAATCAATCAAATCCAGTCCACAAAGACAAAGAGTGTATTACATTACAACGGTAATTTTTCTCAGTTCGCAGCGCTCCCTTCGATGGCAAGCGCACCCCGCCCATTGAGTCGCGCCATATCCAGTGCTAAGTTCTCCATGACGGCCAGCACACCGTCCAGGTTGCTGTAGACCATTCCTAGCGATATCAGCCCTGCAAAGACCTGACCAGCAATGGGCAATACTTTGCTGACTTCTCTAATGGGAATCAGGATCCCACGGGAAGCGGCTAGCGCGGCTAACTACCCCAGCCCCGTAATGCCGTTAACCGTTATTACCGAGGAGGGAAAGAACTCTTGGACCTTGGTGCGCAGTTGGAGCAGGCTGATGCCGGTACGTTGCGAGGTCACCTGCAGCGACGTATCATCCAGACCGAGAGCGGTCAAGAAACGGCTGATGGCTGCGGCGATGATTCCAGCATCGGTCGCGACGGAGGAAAAGGGCACTGGTACGGCATTGGCCGCAGCGGCAGCGAAGGCCAGCGGCAATACCTCTCTTCGAAGCACCTGTGCACAAGACACGAGTCATCGTATGATCGTACTATGTAGGCACTAGCAGTCTAATACTTTTCTTCGTCATCGCTGGCTTATTTTACAGCTTGAAAGAGGAATCTTAAGTTAACTGGTTAAATATCAATTAAAGATTGCAGCGCATTTATTAAGCAGATAGGACTCTATCAGTCCTGTTGTGGACCTTTCGGTTAAATTTACGATTTACTTTGCTGCGCGGTTTCTTAACCGCCTACGCAACTACTGTATGAATGCCTATTTTTAACTAGAACCATTGGTCTAGTTAGTTCTAGTTCTGTTCTATGTTCTACAGAGCTAGAAGAGATATTTTACTTGTTCTAGTTTTTGGAAATATGTGTCTAAGCGTTAAATGGCATTTGCTTGTACAAGTATGAAATAAATTTCCGCCACTAGAACAACTACATGGCATTCACGAAAACTGTAAAATAACTTACAGATTTTAAAAGTATAGGGGTCTGTTCAGCCTTCTATTTGAAGAATACAGTAAGACTACTATCGCATACACAAAACTCTCTAAATCAAGTTTTCGGTAACACCAAACGGCACAATCGACGTTCTTACAGATAAGGGCTCAATTTAAAGATAGCTTAAACGTCTCTAGGGTACAGATGTAACTACGCTACCCTGGTTCGTACAGCTGCCGGCGCGTGCACTCATTTCGGCATTGCTAATACATTCAGATGCATGGCGTACCTTGATCTTTTCTCTTATCATCTTCTCGCTAAGGTTATTTATGGCCAATGTCAAAGCGTCACGCTTTAAATCGGGAAAATCTTGAACTAACTTCACCGCCAGCTCATCAAAATCAAATTGACGTGGTCGTAGACTGTCGATAAGGAAAATGGGCGCCATTGCTGCGTTTTTCCTTAGATGGTCTTCGATGTCCGTGCGAATGGTCAGCAACAGCTGCTCCTCGTTATGCTCATCGGGATACGTAAATTTATCGTTAATCACATCCAGGAAGATTTTCGTCCGTACAAAGAAAAACTTTCGTTTGGATTTGAGAATTTCCAGACCCAACCACATGTCCATGCCGGTGAAGCGTACTGCCGATAGGATAAGAAAAAAGTCATACCGGCCAAACTCGACCAACTCCAGATAGCGGTCTTGCGGGAAGTTTTCAGTGCCGACACCCGGAAGGTCCCAGAATTGCAGTGCTTCGTTGCCTGGCTGCGGATACGCTGTGACCACTTTCGTGGTTTCCACGCAGCCGGTAGCAGCCCATCCCGGATCCTTGGATTTCAGACCGCGGATAGCGTTAATGAAGGTGGACTTACCGACACCCGAGTGGCCGATAACGGCGATATTGAGCGGAACGGCACGAAGAGCGTCTTGCTTCTCTTTATTGAAGTCCTGGATACCTTTAGCTCCATCCTTGGCGAAACGATCTCTTATTTCTTCTAAACTGACAAAATCGTAATTATTTAGAAAGTAGTCGTCATCCATGGCAGACCGGTACGTAAGGTGGAATCTTCACTGTGATACTAGATAAGAATAACTGTCGATGCCGGGAAAATGTTGGATCTTAACCATGCATGATGCATGTAAAGGTAAAGCAAGAAGACTGAGCGAGGCATTATATAAACGTAGTACCTGCGCTAAGTGTTCCGGCACTACGCCGGCAACATTACCGCAAAATGTAGGACATGGTAGGCGTGTTCTTTCGGCTACTGCTGTTGTTAGCACCAACCACTTGCGAACAAGTCACTGATGCAGCACCTGCACCTTCGTAAGTTTGCAGAGGTCAGAGATTAGATATCGCAAAGAGACTAAAGGTCAGTCACCAGCTTTCGCCTGTCATGCAGTCTTTCAACCTCCATTCGGTGCACCGAAGGATAGGCTTATCGAAGATAACAACTTATTGCATACTTATTACCACTCACTAAGTGGACGCCGAACTCCGATTAACGTTGGACCATTGATACAAGGTTTTTAATTGAGTCTAATAATTCAGCTGGATATGAGTGATAGAATTCCACATAGTTGTATTTGCAACAAAAAGGCTTTACAGTGCTTACACAAATACAGACAATGGAAGTCAGTGCAATTCGGGAAGGCAACTGCTTGTAATGTACATATATGCACTCGGCTATACAGCTCGTTATTTAAACTCTGCAATTAATCAACATAAAATCAAATAATTTTGTATGCACTACAATTTAAACTTGTCCCGGAACTATAGTTCACCCCATCTGTTGTCGTCCATCCGGAATTAATCCACGATCCGAGCTGCTTATCTTGACCTTGCAGCAAATACCGGTTATTTGTCGCCGGATCCACCTTCTTAAACAACCGGCACGCTTTCTCATACAGCTGCTGCATACAGTTCCCAATCGTCTGTAGCCGATTACTGGCCAGAACGATACCATCGCGCACCAACCCCAAAAACGCACAATCGCCTTGGGAATCTCCCGAGCCCCAGATGGGCGCTTGGCCGTTATGTCGCGGACGGATAATATTATTGGCGACCGTGGCTTTCCCCGGTCCCCACGTGATCGGATAGTCCCCGCCCACCAACCGTCCGGTGAATTTCCCGTTGTCCATCGTAAATCGCACTCCCAGGATGTTATCCTTCGGGACGTTGTACGTCAAGGAGTAGAAGGTAGCGGCCACGTCGACAAAGTACTGCGGCGATGCGGAGATGACGTAGACGCTGACGTTGCGTCCCTGTAACGCCCGCATACTGGCTTCCTGGCCGTTGAAGATACGCAGTCCCGTGGGATAGCTCCCTGTAATCCCATTGGTCGCTGTGAACGACACCGCACCAATGGCCGCGTTCAGGTTGTAGCGGATACTCAGCCGAATTAAATCCTTGATCTCGGCTTCGGTCATCCCGACTAACAACTGCGGGAGGATGGTTAACGCGAGAACCTGCGCACACGGTAGAAAATCATCCCCGCCGTTGGTATTCTCCATGGCAAAAACCAAGTTCCCGAATTTGGCGACAAAATCGTTGTACTCCGTGGTTTGCCGGATCGCCGCTAAGTTCATATTAGGTTGCAACGTGGAACACGGCGGTACAGTTGTGGATTGCAGGTTATACGTTGGAGCGATGTACGCGTGAAACAATTTTAAATAATCTTGAGATACATCTTGTATTAGGGACTGCAAAGTCTGTGTCTTCCCGATAACGGTATTGATGCCTTGCGGCATACATTGGTCACCGTTGCTCGCGTTGTATCCCAAGGCGAAGATGCCGGCAAACTGTTCCGGGAGGATACGGAAGTTGAGGTTCTGGACTTGATAGTAGATGGACGATTCGGAGATGTCCCCGTACATGCACGTGTTGTCCCAGTCGTATAACGCATACGCTTCCCCGGGCTGCCGGGTGTAGGGAAGGGAGTTAATGACGTAATTGATCGCGGCGATATTGTAGTCGGGCGATTCCGCGCCGTAAAACAGTGGCGGTTGTGGTAAAGATTTTCCGGCACTTTGAACACTGATAACGAAACACGCTAATGCTACTGCAACTAGTAAATTGTGCATCTTGCTAAATGTTATCACGACATACGATAGGAACTATGATTTCAGGCTACTTTAAGAAATGTTACTTGGATCGCAACTATGTAAAATGCACGCATATAACGCATGTGAAACTGCCGCTTGTATATGCTGTTAACATAATTGTTTATTTTATTGTTGGGAATTCAGCCATGACTAAACGAAGTCATTTTCATGAATAGTTCAAAGCTGAGGATTATGTACTCACGCCGACCGTATAGGCGCTTATTTTGTTGACTGATATACATAATTTGCTAATATGCTGATATGCTAATATAGGCCACCGCGCACAATCAAACTGAACAAGTTTCATTGAAACTGTATCCACTTCAGACGATACAACTGAATACACACCGAAGTTGCACATTCGTTTAGTACTGTGTGCGCGAACAGACAGTTCTCTTTTTACGAACAAAGGCTCTGTTAAGAACCTTTTCAAGTCGGATACCTTGGCCTTGCTACGTACAGTCTGTAACTGTGTGTTATTGTTTAAGATGTGAGAAACGTTTTTTTACGGTGTCGTGGCCATTTGTTATAAAAGTATCAACGTCGCGTTAGTGAGGTTCGCAGACGTTCATAGTACGTATTGTACGAGTAAAGGAGTGCATTCACCTTGCATTTTCGACCGTAACGTTTATGAAATGTTTAACGGATTCGGATATCCCTAAAGTGCTAAGCATCCCACTCAACCACATTAAACAAAGTTTGTATGCTGATAGGCAATGCACACACTAAAAACCAAACGGAAACAGTAAAACTGTACCTAAAAGCCCGAAACCGAAACTTTTAGCAAATTAATAGGGAAAAATTAATTTTGAGTTGTCAAACAAAGGGTCAGTTGATGAATATGAGGGCATGCATAACGGTCGCGTGTTTTGCTGTTGAACTTTGAAGACTGCTGTAATTAATGGCAAATGTTTGTGGTTTTCGTGGCTAGACGCTGATTAGGCATGCATTAGTCTATTACTATCGGGATAACATTACGGACAGTTGGTCACGAATCAAGTAGGCATAATTTGGTACTATAGCAGGCAGCTGCGTTGTTTTGCGTACATTGTAGAACGGGGTGCAGTGCGGTCGTAAGACGTAAATGTGTTTTTAGAACGGAAGAGAGGGCTTGTACTAGTTCTTTTTTGCAGCTTTTCAGCTCAGGGGTGATGCGGTAGAAGATTTGGGTACGGGCGCGTCTCACTTCAAACAATAACTGGGATGGCTTTTTCGAGACTACTACTAAGACTTGTAGAAAACCAATGTGGCGAAGCGGTTTTAGTGGAAATATTAGCAAGCCTGGGTCATTAATTTCTGGTAGTAAATAGATATTAACCGCGAGGTTGGCGCGTAGAAAGCAACACTACACAGACACTACAGTAGTTATCGCAATGTTAAATTTAATTCTACGATGAATTATTATGATAAATAAATTCGATTAATACGTTCTTCGATTTTACGATGAACATGCCTCATACGATGTTAATATTTGACGGGTATCAGCCATGCCAAACGCATAACGCGTAACGAGTGAGACGTGGCGAGCCGTGGCATCACGCTAAGGGTAACGCGTACGGTAACCCATGGAACTGTATTTCTCGCTGTCCTTTTACTCAAGAAGTAAATCCCCGAGCTTATGGGTGGATATTAACCCTAAAAAATGCTCTCCGCTTATTTATGAAGCGCCGATTACCAGTAGCACGCAACATGGTAAAGCCGACAAAATTAATATCTCTTTCGCTTCAACACTGATACACAATACTGACGATACTGATACTAGTACTCAATACACAGTCAACGGATAAAGTTCCGCACCTACATGAATTCCCCGGTGTAATCACCAGTCCACAATGATCAGGACGAGAAGGTACTTGTACTTACCGGTTAGCCGCGCTGGCGGCGTATTCATTTTTCCCAGATACGTTAAACACCATGCTCCAGGTGCAAAGATCCGAGCATGTACAACGACTGTGGAAAATCCTACCGCCTTTGCCCTTATTGTCCAGATGGATTTCGTTTCCTTGTCGCACTTAACCAGGAGAATTTGATGCTGTTTGTCCGTTTCGGTTTTTGTTCGCATTTTCGACCAAGAGATAATAACAGTAGTAAAAGTTTGTTGTTCTTGCAACGGTGCGGGTGCTCAAGTCTCTATGTAAACTTCAGGCAACGGGTGAGCAAACATACAGAGTGTTGCCCTGTTGAATAAATTCATCCTCATGTGGCATTTCCCTTTCTCTTGCAAACAGGAAGCGGAAGCACTGTAGTTGTACGGGTACTAGAGTTAGCTGGTACAACTCGTACTTTTTGTCAACGCTACTGCCAGGTGCTTAAATATTTGCTTTGTGCTTTTCTAAATCGTTTGGCTTGCTACCGGCACAAAAGAGCCACGGTAAGAGATCGGCGTTATAGCTTCTCGACGGAAAAAAAGCTTGTCGGCAAGTAACGTAATCAGTGTCGGTATTTATAAGCATTGTATGATAGTTATAAAATTGAAACTAAATAATTTTCTCCTCAACACCGAACAACATACTTTGTAGAACGATCGTATTCAACGCCTCGGTTTCCTATATTTAAGAGATGGAGACACTAGGACACGACTGGTTATCTCAGATAACGACTCGTATCTTAGCGTCTCCGTCGTGATCATCTGCTTAGCGGCTCTCATGCTGATTATACACGAAGTTTACTCGTGCGGCACCATGAACGGTATATCCGTACGTAGCGTGTAAGTGGAACTGGAGATTTGTTAAACTTGCAAAATTCAACATAACACCACCCACTGCAGCCGTACAATTGTGCAAAATCAGCCTGTACGCCGGCGTTGTCGCGGATGTTGCGCTGGCGGAGAAAGCGTTCCACATCCCGACTACTGCGCGCACACTAAGTCACTGTGAGCGCTATGATCGGGATGTACGTGGTGCGCATTCACCGCTATCACAATTCAGGACTTGTTTACCAAAGTATCGATTGACAGTTCTGCAGAGGTCCGCCAGGCATTGCACTAATTCATCAGCAACAATACCAACCGGCTAACCAAGCCGGTTGCGCTTGTTGCTATCGAATTAAGTCCTTGCCTTTTCCTCGCGGTTTGTTGGAATTTTGCGGTTATAACCGTGAAGTTGATAGTGAGTTCATGGCCTCCGACTCCACAGTCCACACTTCTCAATAAATTGGCGCTCGTTTCCAGAGCATTACTGGTGGCTTATCCGGCGGCGTGTGCCGACACCGCACCCGGACAATTGAGAGTGTGACATTTCGCCGCGAAGACATTTCGCCACCGGACATTCGGACGCTGGGACATTTCGGTTTAGGACATTATGCTTTGAGACATTTCACCTTTGCGACATTTCGACGCAACAAGTCTGGTCGCGGGCAATTCGTCTTGGGACTTTTCGAACGATGTGACTAATCGCCGCAAAATAATTCACCGCGCTTAATTCTCACTACTTTTTCAGTTTTTTAGGCTTTTTCTTAGTTTTTTAGGGTTTCTCCTTAGGCTTTTTATATAGCAGTAGCCTATTTTTTTCTGCGGAGCAACGCTATTAAAGACTTTAAAGTCTTTAGTTGCGTTGCTCTGCAGAATTTATCTGAGATAATTGTCACAGAGAAATTTATCCAAGACGCAATGCATATGGACCAGACAATTTCCGTCAGAAATTAACGGTTCCCACTCCCGGAACATCCCAGAACCGAAGCTTATCGTGACCGAGGTTATGAAACGTTACAGAAGTTACGCTGTGGGCTCCCGGTTGGCTTTGACACTGTCGTTGAGAGCGGCTTTGGGGTTATCAAAAGTCAGGCCGCGCACCGTGTTGATGAACGTCGACTTCCCGGCACCGGATGCACCGACGATGGCGATGTTCATAGGAATGGATTGAAAATCATCGTGTTTGCGCTGGAGCAAATTACGAATGCCGGTAGCGTCCTCCTTGGCAAAAACATCCTTTAGTTCATTCACGTTCACTTTCTGCTCTTCCATATACACGCTGATTTTGTCATCCATAGCTGGCATGTTACAGATAAATGCACATATCGTTCCGGTCACGGGTGCTACTTTCCACAAAACCCTAACGGAGAGCGGTTGCTTACCGTTGTTGATACGTAATTACGACACAGTTGCAAAACTCCACCCGCTGGGACAACTGTGTCAACGGATGCCGACAGTTCCAGTAGCCGTTTCTATGTTTTATACTTATCATCACAACGCTTAAACGGTTTTTAAGTCTGCCAACTTATCATACTGGGTAGGGTCATCCTGTGTTGACTTAAGATTAATTAAGGTTGAATGGGGTACGTACGTGAGTAGGCGCCTTCTAGGTCGCTTGCACTAACTGCCTTTCCAAATTGATTCGTATGGATCTGTAGTGTACAAACTAGAGATGGTGGTTTCGTATTAGTAATTATCAGTTATGGAGCGGTTACAGAAAGTACCGGTGGTTTTGCTGGCTATTAGCGTATCGGGTCAGTTATTGGCTAAATGGATGGGCTGTCTTGGATTGTTTGGTGTAGGTTTAAGAGATTGAGTCACGCTACCCGAACGTTAAGAATTTGTCTGTTATCACAATTTTCAACCCAGTTTTCGAGGTGTGACTGTGAATGTAGCTATCGGGCAAGTTGGATGCGGCTGATTTAAGACGGCACCCAACAAAACTGTATGAAATTATCAAAATGCTATGCAGTTTGTACATTTGCAGTTTTAAAATCCGACTCCCGTAGCCGCTCATTGCAAGGTTATAATTTAAATGACTGTGAGAATTTGGTTACTTACTAGATGCAAACTGTTTGTATGTGTGGTAATTATTATTTTTTTGACCGAGGTACGCCGCAAACGTGATGGACGTGATTATAGGCAAACTTGGTAACAAGAGTCAGAGAAAGTCGGTCTTTTTCCCGCTGAGTACGAATCTGAAGTCGGTTTGCAAAAAAAATTTGACCGTGAAAAGTTATGGAAATGTCACCTTTTTGCTTCGAATACGAACTGTACAATAGAGTAGTTACCTTTAGTACGTCTTGTAGGTAGCACGTAAATTTTGCTTGGACAATGAACATTCGACACTGAGCGACGTTACATGTTATGAAACCCCTGAAGAACTGCCCAATGGTCTTGAACGACTCAGAATAGAAGTGCTTTCTGCATGCTCTTCTTTAAGAATTCTCACGGCATACTATTACATTATTTTTCTGTAGACTGTATGCCTGTACAATACACAGTACACAGTGTTTTCGCTTTGCGATATGAGCACTCATTGTAGTTGATAGACGGCTTGCACTCATAAATTCATAATCGGCGCGCGCAGTTGTCGTATTCCATCCTAAGGGTCCTTCCGTCCAAAGGGCTCTCATTAAAAGCACCTCACAGCTAACTTCATCTAAGTACATATTTGTACGGTATTTAGTGTAGACCAAAGCCTGATAAGAATAATCATTAATTCGGTGCTAATGTGTTACAGTGCCAGTGATAAGAACGATCGACGGTTACTCTGACTCACCAACTTGCTATCAAGCAGACGTTACATGGAGTAACACGCGGCTAAGTACTAACTACAGCTGGAAAGATTATAACACCTGCATCGTTAGTCAAATTCAGTATGTGTACCACAGAGTGTCGTTATTGCCGAGGGCCCGAGAGAACCGTCAGTCTTTTGTAGAGCTTCAGAATCGAGGCATCCATGTTGTACATTTCCAGTAACAACGTTTTCTTTTTAAGAGATTATAGCAGCGATTTCTCGGTTTAAAGATGGACATCGACAGCGTGTGCTTTGATCAACGCGACTTCGTCGACATCGAGCAGTTCCAGGAGACCTTCGACAGCGAAGGCGCCAAGGGCATCCACAATCTCCTGCAGCAGAAACAGGACGAACTGAAGCTCCTCCCCCTCAACATCGCCATCATCGGCTCCTCGGGCGCCGGCAAATCCACCTTCATCAACGCCGTCCGTGGTCTGACTTCAGACGATCCGGACGCCGCGCCTACCGGCTGCGTGGAGACCACCCGGGAGGCGACCGCCTACGCGCAACCCGGCAACGACATGCTCAAATTCTGGGACCTCCCGGGTGTCGGGACTGACAACTTCCCGCAGGATCGCTATCTCGAGCTAATCCATTTCGACCGCTATGATTTCTTCTTAATTCTATCGGCGGTGCGGTTTACCGGGCTGGATATGTGGTTGGGCCGGGAGATTCTCCAGTCGAACCGGCAGTTTTTCTTCGTCCGCACCAAGATCGCCATGGATGTGTCCAATGATCGGCGCACCCGACCGCGGACGCACGATGAGGATGTGCTGTTGCGGACCATCCGGGAGGATATCGAAATGCATCTGCGGAAGAATCAAGCGCTGGCACCGATTTTCCTGATCGACAGTTTGCGGACGCGCCGGTTTGATTTCAACCAGTTAGAGATGCAGCTCATCAAGGATTTCCCGGCGATGAAACGGCAAGCGCTCACACTGGCCATGAACAGTTTGAGTGAAGACATGATCAAAGAAAAAATCAAGGTGGGCAAAATTAGTAACAACTTACATCGATGTTGGGCTTTCTTCAAGCTTTCTTTGTATGTCAGTAAACGGACAACAAACCCTCTAAAAATAAGTCTGCAGTGTCTGGTGTTTGCATTTTTTGCGTTATTAATCACTACAGCTTTCCACATGTACAGTCCGAATCAAGATTCTTTAGCGCAGTGACCTCAATAAAAATTGGTCAGAATGGGCGTCTGAAAGGTCACTTCAATTTATATAAACTAACAGAAATGGTATTTAAAAGTAACAGAATGAGCATTGAAAAGGTCACGGTATATGAACTACAAGGTGTGACTAAACGAAAGATAAATTCATTTTAAAGCACATTTGCGCAAACAAGCACTACTTTGTTCGAACCCAATGCTGGCGATCTACGCGCACTTACTGTTGTTCTTGCCGCACACTGTTTGCTGATTTTTTTATTAATTTTTGAACCGTTAACCGGCTGACCGATTTCTACTTTTTTGCTCTAAATCCTGTATGGGTGTTATTCGCACAGGTTCTCCGCAGTGAAATCTGGAAGATCTCCATGGTCTCCGCCGGGATCGGAGCCGTGCCCATCCCGGGCGTGTCCACCGTCAGCGACATGGGCATCGTCATGTACGCCATCGTGCGCTACCTGGCCATCCTGGGACTGGACGACGCCTCGTTGAAACAGACCTCCAAACGCACCGGTCTGGATTTCGGCAGTCTCACCGCCATGGTGCACGACTGGTTCCCGCCGTCGCTCTTCGCCGTGGGCAGTCTCAAAGAACTGACGACCTTTGCCGCCTCGCGCGGCTTATCCACGTACATCACGGAGGCCACGAAACTGGTGCCGATCTTTGGGCAGATGTTTGGCGCCATGGTCTCCTTCGGGATGCTCTACCGGACTCTGCACGGCTTGCTGGATGTGATGGAGAAGTTGGCGCTGAAGGTCGCCCAGCTCAACCTGGAAGCGGCGGCTAGTGTGGAAGCGGATAGTGATGATGACCTTTAGATTAGAGGCACCTTTCCAAAAGGTGCGATGACGATAGCGAAAAAAGCACGGCAGTAGATTTGTGACCGTTCCAGGTATACTGTAATTCAACCGGCTACTGCAGTGACGAAAAACAGTTGTAAAACCTCTTTTGTATCAGTTTTTGCTTTAGTGTTACGGTATTAGAAAGTCATTGCATCATGCTGAACTGGTTTTTATCTATGTACTGCACTAGGTGAATAACTTTCCAGATTCGCAGTTGTAGATCTACGTCACTGACAATACAGAATTAAACACAATCGTCGGTACTTCCACAAACGAAATGCACGAATTCACCCAAATGGCAAATATGTACTGTTTAATGTACCCAAATATGTACCCAAATGTTTGATGACCTTTGGTTCTCCTAAATTCGTTTGAACACATGTATAGTAATGGTTTAAACCATTACTATACATGTGTTCAAACGAAGTACATGCTTAGAAGTTCTTTAATTCAAATTTGAATTAAAGAACTTCTAAGCATGTACTTCAGTCATATTTATTTCAAAATTATGTACCAGCGCTTCAACAACCCAGATAGGTACTACAGCTTATATATAGTAGTACCGTACTGTATACATACCCAATATTATGGACTTCAAAGCATGTACTTCAATAATGTAGATATTTACTACATTATGTACCAGCGCTTCAACATCGATACAGGATAAAAACTATGTTCGTTCATCAGAAATGACGTCGCCGTCGTCTGGAGCTCATGTCCATCTGGGCGACTCTTTCTGATCAGGAAGAATCGATGGTCTCGTGTCCCCTTAGATAAGAAGTCATAAATTTTTGGGCTGCCGCACTGTGAACTTGCGACAATACTTACACTACAGTTACGTGCAGCACATTGGTGGAATTCAGATACAGCTGTACGTGTAATAGACATATCTGCACTCTGCTAGATGATGTTTTTTAGGTAATTATGGTAGACATTTTTAGTTTTATTCAAAATGTTTAAGTTATTAGGTAGCATGTTTTGGTTTTCAAACCTCTATATGGCTCTGTCAGATATGACACAGAGGCAGATGGAAAATGGGGCAAATATCGCCTTTATTGGTACAATAAAGCAACAACAACAACACAAAAACCAACAGAAAACCCAATGCGGGAAAAGCTGGAAAAAGTGCCTGCAGTGCGCTGGTGAGGAATCGTGATTAATGATTCCGCGTGCTGCGGGTGTGCAACAGCTGATGCTGCAAAGCATGGAATCGCCCGTAGGCGCAGGGCTCCACCCCCAAGAGTGCAGAGAAATGCGCTGATTGGTCAGCGTAGACAAAGTATACGCTGAGTAAGCAGCGTAATAGCGCGGCACGAATGGAGTAGCCATGTGCGGGCGGGCGACAGAGCAAAGCCACGAGAGGTGTCTACCGCCTCGAGTGAGCGGTCTCTGACAGCTCTATGCATGGCCAGCGCGGGCCCAGCGACCGGAATTGCAAAAAAGTCGACAAGCGGATTAACATAACATTGACTTACGGCTAGCATAATCTGACATATCATTAGCATAACTTGGATTAATCAGCATACGCTAATAATGCGCCCGGACAACCACTTACATCTACGGGCGTTTTATATATCGGCAACGTATTATTTTCTGTAGGGCAACGCCATATAAAAGCCTTTAATAGCGTTGCTATGCAGAATTTATCCGAGATAATTGTCTCGGATAAATTTATCCGAGACGCAATGCACAGGGACCAGACCATTTCCGTCCGAAATTAACAATTCCCACTCCCGGAACATCCCAAGAACCGATACAGAAACTGTAGATCAGATGCATAAATTAAACCATTTTGACGTACGAGTATATGCTGCCGTAGAATGCACGCTTGCTGCCGCGTAACTTGCCCTTTGCTGTTGTCAGTTTTTTCAAATAATTTGAATTTATATTAGCGGAAAAAAAACTAATAAAAATAGATTGCAATACTTGAAGAGAGTTTCTGGCATTATTTTGTAACCGTGGTCAGCACTCAGCAGCAATTGTCGTACAGATTATCCGGCAGCCGGCGCACGACAATGCTTTGCGACTGTGAGAGATGATTGCTTATACTATATGACATACTTTATGCATAAGTACGCGTAATACTCGTGTAGCCTATAAACTACATTTGCATAATTTAAAATATATAACTGCATGGTTCACAAGCGTGATCATTCTTTGAATGCTTAAAGTCAAAACTGCGTAATAAAATATTAAAAAAATTATTCTGTTTGAATAGCTGCGTTAAGATTAATTATTGATGCATGTCACATATATGTATATAAGTTAATATAACATTAATCCTAAACAAAGGTCACTAGTGAATGATTACTAGCTACCTGTGCATCATGTCTCCGTGCACTTATTTTCGCATCCCGTATTTCATACTGATCGTTTTTATTTCAATCACCTGGTCGCTTGACGTCATATATACCCACTAAATATGTTATGGATTGCGTAACCGGAAATAAAGAGCAATGTTAGCCGATGGACCTGGTATATCTGTCTGCAGATTACATGATTGTTGCATCGGATCGGCAAGCGAGTCCAGGTTTTGTAGAAATTTAATTATCCTGAGATGACGCTAATCAACTGGATGCAAAATTATGTAACAGACACTTTGTTTACAATAATTACAAGCTGTTACATGTATGAAGTTACAAGCACAGTTGCGAATCGTGCTGTACGTTATTTAACGTAGGTACTATGTGTAGATATATTATTTTAAGGGAAGTGTGCCGGTACATGGTACCAATTCGTATACAGTACATATATCGGCATTGGTCCCATAATCAATTTCAGATTCAGGCCTGCAACAATGCAACAAAAGATTTGAATGTAAGTACCGTATTTACTGAGAAAAGCTCGCCTGTACCCAAATTACGAATAAAACTCACAGAATAAATTATAAAATCTAAGAAGATGACATAAAAATGAAAAAGTCATTTAATAAATTTTTGTGACGAAGGAATACTGCATTTGGCTGCAGTTTGAAACCATATAACCACTTCGAGATGTTGTCGAAACCAAACAAACTTGTTGACCGTGATGATTTTGTCTGTTTTTTAGCTGTGGGCAGTTCCGACATTTGTAGACTGTAGTAAACGGCAAATTATTATATTATAGTGTTATTCTTCTACATTTCGATGTGTACATGTACAATCAATAAAGGATCTCCACGGCTCCACCCGTAAATGTAGCTTAAGAGTCACGCATTTAATTTCGATCATGCGCATTGCACAGGAATATATCAATTACGGGTATAATTACCATTTTTTGAATAATGGTAAATGCGCAGCGGCATATAATGCATTACTCAAGTACTCGTATATTACAGGCAGGTTAGGTAATAATTACTCGTATAACATTCCACATTAATTTAGTAGGTGTGTCGTGTCGCGTGTGGGTGCCGCTTAAGAAATAAAAAGTACAATTACTGATAAGTATACGTCTCAATAAATACTCATTAATTCATTAGTACTTATCTTATGTGAATGCTATAATACGACAGCAAATTGCACGTAATAATTGGGCTCCATAATTTTTTTTCACAGTGCATTTAATTTGATTAGAAGCAGACACGCACCGGTTAGTCGGAAAACAGGAAAACAAAATTAATTTACGCTCTACATGCATTTGACATGGGTGGTGCTTGCCAAATATCGATATAAAATTCATAAACTATCGATATAAATATTGTATAAAAGAGTAACATTCATATCTTCATAATATTACTTGGTCGTTATTTCACGATTCTCATGGCGACAACCTACCGCTTAAAAATGTACTGCGTGATTTAGCGTTTAACCAATGTTCATTTGTGTAATCCAATAAAAACTTACCGCTTAAAAATTAAGCAGTATGTTTTACTTTATAATTACCTTAAATATTCAGGAAAGTGGGTTTGTCATTGTGGTAAACGTAGTGTAGTGGCAGTCGTTCATAGCACAACTTTCGAGGTACGTAAATAATTCCTATCTGTACATTTACGGTAGAAATTACAGGACACACTTGTAAACATAATCCATTTTACCCTGTCGCAGGCAGGTTATGTCCTGCATATATCAGACATCACCGTGCGCGATCTAGACGAAGAACGCAAGAAACGTCTATTTTCAAAGTCATCAAGGTGATTGCCGTGCAGAATGCCGGTATAAACTGTCAATTTCCATAATGCATTTAAAAATGCCGGGTCACGTTATACTTGATATATATGTCTATATCTGCATAACGTACGTATGTGCCGGTTTGAAAATCTACATGATTATCAGCAGCGGTTGTTGATGCAAAACCCAGCCAGCCTTTAAAAATACACATACTACCGCTTCATTACACCAGGGTCACCTTTACCGCGGCGCGTCCCCCGGCGCAATGGAAATACGGGAAACGCGGTGTATAATTGTCTATACACGCTGGGAGTTTGATATATATCCACAGCTCGTCTATGTGTAATTAATTCATTCCCCCAGCCTGAAAAGTGTGCAGCCGAGAGTGTATGTTAATGGCAACACTACGCTAATCGGCTGGATCGTAACACGGGGTATCAGCCGGTACCCGTTTTGCGCCGCACTGTCTGCCAGGTAGAAGGTCCAATCTATCATCCTGCATATGTTGCAGCACTGCAGTGTGGCTCTCGCGCTATCGTCCAATCGATAAGACTTGTTTGCCAGACGTCGCTCTTCCGCGAACAACCACCACAACACACACACACGATACCACGATTTACCCACAACCGTGCACTTTACGTGTCTTTACCAGTCCACGCACTTAATTGGCTTTTATAATATTATACGTATATATATGTATATATATCGATGAACGATGATCAACGTCAACTTGCATCATGCTCAACCGTTTTGCGCCGCGGTAGATTAATATTAAATGGTGTGCCTGCACTTGAAACTGCTTATCGTAATAGAAATTTTGGTCAAGAACACGAGTAGCGCTTTTTCTTCCCGTATCGCTATCAGCAGTGCGAAGGTAAGTGCACCGAATTATTTATGCCACTATTCTCCTGATTTGTGCGGAAATTCTTGGAAAAGCCGATCATCTTATGCGAAAAATCTTTATAAAAAATTAATAAAACATAACGTGATAAGATCATAAGAGTAATATAAATGGGAATTTTTCGGAAGCCATAGATCAAAGAAATGCATTTAATAAACCGTCGGCGAGCCAAGCGAGCCGGCTTTATGATTTTTTTCTTAAATACTGTACTTGATTAATTTTACCCATCGTATTTTTCACAACAAACCACTACAATAATTTTTTATTGTTGTTGAATTGCAGGACCGGTTTATGTTTGTTAATATTGTGCGGTGTACCCAGCCCGTGCGAGCGCTTCCGCCCGTCGCGCAGCTGCACCGACGTACGTACAGCTGCGTAGTATTCAACAGCGCGATCGTAAAAAGGCAGCGTAGTCGGTCGCCACTCATACAGTACACACACCGTAAACAGCACACAGAGACGCAGAAAGAGAGAGAGAGAGAGAGCGACACACACACAGAGCCTGCCTGCTGTGTATGCTATGCTATTCAAGCTGCCAATCGAGTATCATTCAGAGCCGAGAGTCGTACAGTATTGGTTGTGTGTGCATTAAAAGCAGAATTTTTACTACGCGAGGCATTACGGTAAAAATGCCAGTACATATTCTTGGCACGAGAATATTTTCTACCACGGTTTGCCGATGGCAAGGCAATATGAATTGTTCTCCTTTTCTCGGTGTGTGTTGTTTTTCATCCCCGTGTTGATTTCCGATAGCATACTGGTTTAACCGTTCAAGGTAGCAAGCAGTATAATAAAAAAACCCGCAGTCTTTCATTGACACCATCGACAACAACATTGAGTGACAGTGAACAGTGAGACGCTGAGAGCAGCAGTATTACATTTGCCCCTGAAAAATTCTTGGTCTTTCAACAGGCGTCCCGATCCCCGCGACAGGTAAGCCATATGCAGGAGAAATGTATTCCCTTTCTGAAAAAAATTTTCCCTTCGTGAATAACTGCGTGGGCTGGCCGAAAACGGGATCGCGGTGTGTCTGTGAGTGCGTAAGTAATGTAGTAAGTGGTGCGAGAACGGTATTGATCAGCGCGCGCGGCCAGGCTAATCGCATCCTGGCATCTCGCGCAGCCCGTGTGTATTTATCCTTGGACGTCCGCGGTTGAAGGTCGAAAATATATCGGCCCGGCCCGGTGCAGCCAGGCTCCCCTGGATCCGCGCTCATCCAGCAGGCTGAGGCACTCCGCTGATCAGGGGGAATTTATACGGCGCATCGCGTGAGGTTTCCCGTTCGTTTTTCGCCTTGTCACTGCAGCGGTACAGGGAGTGGCGAGTGTGCGCGCTATTGATTTTAAGCTTGTGTGAGGCTGGCAGCCGCATTCTCTCTGTCTCTCTCTCTCTGTCTGTCAGCCTGTTATTCTCTCTGCTGCTGTGTTTTTCCTATTTAGCCTCCTTTTCATCGGCGATAGCGTGCCATTGTTCCGGTTCTCTTTCTCTTCTATTCTTCTGACACTTTTCATTCGGCTGGCGCTTGGCGTGCGCTGGGACACTGGCTGCTCGGGATTCGTGTTTTTTATGATTTTCTTCGTTATGTGCGTTTGCAGTTTTACTACTTGATGCATTATCGATTAACCGATTTCTGAAAAAAACCAGGATAAAAAAAATTCATTCAGGTTTTTATTGGAACTAAATACAACTTTTTTATTACCTTGATGCTTATATATTTTTTGAATTATCGATTTTTCCAGTTTTGTTTTTAGTAAATTAATTAGTTAATTATTGGTTCTTGCAGTACTAGTTATTTAATAAACTAAAATTAAATTAGGTTGGCTGAGAATTCGGTCGTAAAATTGAATTAGTTGTTTATCGGTGTCTTATTGTTATCAGCGGAAATGCTGGAACCATATTCAATGGCTTCCACGAAATGTGTGTGGGTGGAGCTGGCAGTGTGCAGGAAGATTTACGGCATTTTGTAGCGAAGTGAACAAAGCCCAGTTAATTATAGTGCATGCTGCGTTTTTTGTCTGCCAGTCCTAATTATCGCCCCGTAGCCATGTTTGTACGCGTTGTTGTGCGCGGCCCTAACGCATCAGTGTATGAATAGCAGGCCGTTTTTTATTGATTCTCCAGTACAAAAACGCACCGCAATACGTCAGTGAAAAAAACTGTTTTGATCTTCATTGCAATAAGTTTTTCTGCATTTTTATCGCTCATTTTAAAATAACATTCTCAAGGAATTTTTGTGAAAAATTGAACGTCTGAAATTGTCTTCACATCTCCGTTGTAATAAATTTATTTTAATTGCTGAAAATTCTCCGGAAATTTTGTGAAGATGGTATGTAAAGAAAAGAATGTTTTCCCTGAAAAATGGAATGGCGCCGGTGGTTTTTATACCGTCTGGGAGAAGTAGAATGAGTTTGCACTGGTTTGGAAAACCCGAAAAGCTGCAGTATTTTTGTTTCCATCGGCATAAATTTTATGGGCGCTCATTGGGGTTATATTGGTCGTTGAATAAACTTGACATAAAATAATCTTGCAACGGCTCAGCTCATAAATCATTGGCTATTGGCTTTTTATCGGTTTTTTTCTCTCCTCGCGAGCGCTGTGCTTGACTGACGCGAGAGTGCAAGTGCCAGATGTGTGTGCGTACGAATCGGCTCTACCGCACTCGTACGTACGGCGTACTACGCGCTGCACACGTGAATAGAGAGAGCCGATGACTCATCCGGCCTGTTTAAAAGCGATGAGCTCACACTGTGTATGACTAGCTTTACGCGGCACGGCGGTTTGTGATTCGCTGTCCTTTGTTTTTGTGCTGATGCAAGAGGATTAAACTGGTACGCTGCGTTCTTCGCGTATTCAGCGTTTAATTGCGTAATGTGCGACCTTGAAGTGTGCCCTTCCTTTTGACACTCATCATCAAAGAGGCCAACGCAAAGAGCGACTGACTGAGACACAGAGAGAGAGAGAGATATTTGTCCCCATTTTCACCGATAATAATAATGTGTGCAGCGCTTAAAGACGTGTATTCTTCCATTTATGATTATTGAGGCCGGGCTGCGTGTTTTTCCAGTTTCTCCATCAGTGATGCTGCCCGGTACCACTGGTTTTTCTTATACCGTTTTCTCTCGTTTTCCATCCGCTTAATATAACGCGTTGGCGGCGGATTGGAAAATATATAGTGCAAGTGTAGAGAATTGAGTGGCGTTCGCTGTTCCGCAAGAAAGCCTTCGCTTCGGAGCTGGTTTTGTGTTGCTGCTGCTGGCATCCGTTCAGCGGCTGCTGCTTTTCCGCTGGCATGGATGCTTTGTGCTGCAGCCGAATAAAGTCGACGGATTTTTCGGCGTATGTAATTTTCCAAGACGCAGCAGCAGAGAATCGGTTTCCGGTGTAGCTTGTACAATACTTTGTGTGTGTGTGCCACGCAAGAATACAGACCGCTTTTCATATTCGATTATGCGCGAAATCCTTGGCCAATGCGCCGGCGCTGACTTAGGCGATTGTCTCCGGTGCTTTACGAAATCGATAGCGGAAACAGGGCGCCGTTGAGCAAAACCTAGTAAATTATTTACCAGAATTTGTTCGACATCTTCCCGGCGTTAATTCGTATTTTTCGGAATTTTTCTGAATTTAGTTCTACGGGGGAAGCAATTATTTTCCGAATTTTCTGTGCGTTATCTTTCCTAATTGTTTTAAATTTAATTTTATATTATGGCTGGAGACCTATTTTTTTCGTTTTGTTCAACATTTTCTGTACGTTTCGTGCGCCGTTTATCAAAATTTAATGTATAGGGTTACCGGGTTTTATCAGAATTTTCTTAATAAATTTTCTTGTCTTTTTAGTTTGCGGTTTTTTTAAATTCATATTTTTATCAGAATTTTTCTGAATTTTTCTATACGCCCAGATAGTAGTTCTTAATTTTGTATCATTAGTCGCACCATATTTTGTTCTTAAAAAATCCTGTAGAATGAGTTCTAACTGATGACGCACTTTTCCGGAATATTTTTCAGAATTTTCCCAGGTCAAATTTGCTGTCGCCCGCATTAGTCTCATGGAGTATTTGCATACATAATTCAGTTTTACATCACACATAACAATGACAAACTAATGAAATAGATGTAAAATTTACACAGACAAAATGCTTATTTATTTGCATAATTATTCTGATGGGGATCTGTTCGCTTTGTTTGCAGAAACGTTATGCAGTGACGATTATCCACTGGATGCGTATATATACTGTGATCCGTTTCCCTTGGGCTGTGGCGGCTTTGTCAGATGCCTAGACGCGGACTCCGCGGTCTGTCAGGTGGCAGCACTCGTCGTCGTCGCAGCAGCAGCCGGAGCCGCGCACTGGCCCAGTGACTGAGAGCAGAGAGTGATGGCCATGGCCCTCCGATTCAAAGGCGGCCCCTCATCCGCCTCCTCCGGCTCGTCCTCCTCATCCACGCTGTCCGCCCACTCCACGACGGGCTGCAGCGACCCGGCCAAGGTCAACGGGGACGCCGATTCGCCCTTCGCGGTGCCGTTGCAACATCTGCAGCATCCCGCGCTGCTCCTCCCGGATTCAGCGTTGCGTATTCCACCACCACCGCGCTTGGGACTCTCACCCAAAGGTACGGAAATCCAGCGGCTAGAAAGCAAAATATTCGGTGATTAATAAGAATTAAATGGGTAATTATTACTAAAATAAATATTAAATTTTACTTTTTTTTTATAAAATTGAATATAAATATTGTGAAATTGTGGGGAGGGTGTGGAACACACCCTCCCCACAATATAAATAATTGTGGGGAGGGTGTGTTCGATCTATTCAGATTTTTTACCTGTTAAATTAATGACACATTTGGAACTTTCACCCAAAGCTACGCAAAATTCAGCGGCTAGAAAAAACATTGAATGATTAATTGTAATAAAATGATTTATTATTGATAAAATAAATGTCGTAATCTTGCATTTAGGACGGCTGGTGTTTATCTCAAGCGAGTGTTATTTGAATTTTTAGTTGCAGTTTTGTTTAGATTTAGGCGAGGTTGAGTTTGTGAAAATAGTGAAAAATGATTTTCAGAATTTTGTAAATTTATTTGGGAAATTCGCCAAATATTTTGCATGGTGCGAGTAAAACCGTAATAGAAAAATCAGCACGATTTTGAATTTTCCGGATATGCCGGCTGAACTTGATAAATCGCCACAGGCTCCGACTTGTTGTTATTTTTCCGTGAAAACTATTACCTAGATTAGATGGCTCGAAGAATACCTGTAAAACTAAATCGAAAAATTGCTTTGACATTTCTCTTTTGTAATTATTTTGTCCGGAGATTGGTGTTGCCCGCAATGGAGCAAAAATGAGAAATAGCCGCGGTCGAAAATTACCTGTCCATTGTAGAGATTGTATCGGTTATTCGGCGGTGTGTGTGTGCGAATCGGCAACAATATTCAGCGAGGGTAATATATTATGTGGTTGGCGCGTAGTGTGTAACAAATCGTATGTCATTATCGAGTTTGTGTGCTACTGGTCGCCCGCAGGCACACACAGCTACACTATCCGTTTTTACAGCCGTTTTTGCTCCGTTCCACATGTACTATTTCCATTTGGCGATTCTCTACACACACTACATTCACACACACCATAATTGGCTCGCGCTACGTTGCTTTTTCCCGTAAATGTTTTATTTAACCGTGTGTTTTTCCCGGAACCGCGGCGGGCGTATTTTTAACAGGAAAATGTTGACTTAATTTCCATCGTGATTATTTTTCCCAATTTTTTTGTGGCTTTATTTTTGGGGAGAGCGGCGTTGCGACTGGGTTGAAAAGACAGATTAAGATTGTGTAAATGGCTGGAGGAAATGAGTGAAGGTCGGCACGCAGTGAATTGAAAATCGCCAGCGCCATAGTTTGACCGATTTGTATGTTGGCGCTGAGTCGCTGACGAGCGCAGTGCGTAGTATTTTTTCCTCCCTCCTCCATCGTGTTGCGCTCGCATCTGGCGCGGCGCTCGTTCGACGGAATGAATGGAGGGATTTGGCAAAATGTTTGTGTATTATTTTCCACTGTGCGCGTACGCATGGCTGATTCGCAATAAGCAGGTTGGTCGCGGTGCTGACGTCGACGGTTGTCGGGTTGGTTAATCAGGGAATGATATGCCGGCGGAAGGCTTCCTTATTTCAGGAATTAGGAAGCCATTGACTTCGGCCTAATTTTTTTGTGAATTTTCATTTTATTTCCGTTTCTTGATTTTTAATAATTTTTTAAATGTTAAGTTGTGTGTCTGCGCTAGCATTTTGGGTTGCTCAGGTGATTGTTGCTTATCAGAATATTTTTATAAAGCCAACGTGCCTTTTTTCCTCTGAATCCCAGTTTTGCTAAATATTTTTTTCATTTTCTGGATTTTTAATAAAGTTTTGAATAATATTAGGTAGAGTTTTTGCGCTTGCCCGGGTGTTGTTACGTATTAAAATATTTTTAAAAGACCCGTCTGTTTCGCTCTGTGTAATGGCTTCCTAATTCTTAAAATTAGGCAAGCCTCCGACTTCGACTTTAATTATTTGTTGTCCTTGCTCTGATTTTAGAAACAATTTAAATATATTAGATAGCTTGCAGTTTTCGACTTTGTTAGATGGGTGGTAATTATTTATTAAAATATTCTTAAATGTTCAGGTTGTGTAAAGGCTTCCGAGTTCCTGAAATTCGGAGGAAGCCCTCGAACTCAATTTTGTATAAATTTTATTTTCGTTACCTTGATTATTAATAAATTTTCAGATATTATGCAGTATGTCTGAGCTTGCAGTTTTTTGTTACTCGGATGGTAAATCTTCAATAAAATAATCTGTAAAAGGTCAATCTGTGTCAACATGGGTGTGGGTATCTATTCTAGGTGGGGAGATGGCGGCGGTGATGGCGCGGTCGCCGTTCGACAGCGTGGAGAACGGCGGCGGCGGCGGGGAGAAGCGGAAGACGACGGAGCCGGATGTGACGGTCATCTCCTCCTCCAGCGCCAGCGCGACGGGATCGCCGGCCGATATGAGCAAACTGACACCCAAGAGACGGATTCTGGACCGGCAGGCGGCCGGCAATGCGCCACCACTGCAGGTACTGTACTTACTTACGTAATGCCACATTTATTATGGACAACTAGTGCAAAAGTCTCCATTAGCATGATTAATATTTGAATTTCCTGTATGCTGCTTTCGGAGAAAAATCGTTTAGCGCTGCTCGCTTTATGAACGAATGGCTTGAGGGTGATCGATTAATAGAATGTTTAACAGGAAGGAAAAAAAATAGAAATTAATACCAGCCAAAATTACATTACATTTCATTAAATTAAATTTTATATTTAAAATTCTATTTTGAAAATTTAACAATATTTATAATTCTGTTTTGAATTTCCGGTGTTTTGCTTTCGGAGAAAAATCGTTTACCGCTGTTCCTTTTATCAATAAATACCTTCATGGCATCGATTGATAAAATGTTAAACAGTAAGGAAACAAAAATTGAAATTTTATACAAGACAAAATTGAATTTTATGAAAATTAAATTTATTTAAATTATCCATTTTTTGAATTTCCCTCACTTGCTTCCTGAGAAAAATATTTTTGCGCGATTTCCTTTCCGATTGCTTTATATCGATTAAAAAAGTAAAGCGAAATTGCGTTGAAGTGAATAAAAAGTTGGCGGGAAGCTGCTTGGTGTTTTTATTGTAAATGAATTTTTTCCCGTGATTTTCAGAACGGAGTTGTATCGTAAAATTGCAGGGCATGTTGACGCAGCGCACCAGGGTTTTATGGCATAGATGGGTCATAAAAATAGTAGAGTTATTTTTGTGTTGATTCAGGTGCATATTACTACGGTGTCAATCATATAGGCAGCGTTTTCGCGTATTTTTGCAAGCACTATTGCGAGTGAATTATCGGATCGATTTTCCGTTCGCGTACGCCAGTCACCAAACGAGTACGGTTTATTGCACCGGATTCATTGTTAAACCGTGTGTAATTTCATCGCGGGCACGGACTGGTTTCATTCCTGTGTACTGAATTTGATTAGAATCTGCAGAAAATGATGGTTTTGTGGGAATAATCGAATAATAACTGATTTAGGCGTGGTATCACGTCATGCGTTATCTCGTTATTCTAATTGTGAATTTTCTAGAATTTCTGGCTGACTTTCAGTGAAACGCCATAGGCGCGAAGTAAATTATTTTTTCTGTCCCTGGATTAGGTCGTTCTGGAAGATTCTGGGAAAAATACAAGCATAAAATTCCTTCTATGGATCATTTAACAGGCTCCCGTCGCGCCGATAAAATCATCATTCAACGCAGTTTCACGTGCGCTTAAATGGCTTAAATGCCTTGAAGTTATCGAATAGTAAAGTGGAAAAAATAGGAACAATTAAAAAATAAAATGCTAAAAGGTAAAAGATGTCTTGAATTTATCAGTTAATTAAGTGTAAAACACTTTTAAAAATTTTGGAAGAATTGAATGAAAATAAATGGAAAAAAATGACATGCTGATTGCTGACATTTTGACAAGCCCCGTTGCGGCGTCGATGGTCAGTAGCGCACGAGTTTATATGAATGTCTTTTTCAGTTGACAAAAAATAAAAAGAGAATTAAAAATTAAACAGAAACTGATAGAATTGATAAAATAAATGGGAAAAAATGACATGTTAATGTTTGGCAGGCTCCCGTCGCAGCGCCGAAACAAAGAAAAGTTTAACTAGGACAAATAAGGAAAATTAGATTCATGGTTAAATTAAAAAAAATTGTTAGAATTAAGTAAAAATAATTCTTAGCAGATGACATGTTGATATTTGGCAGGCTCCCGTCACGGCGCCGGCAGCCAATAGCGTCCGCGTGGCGCTGGACGAGTTTATCGGGGAGCGGGTGCTGGTCCGGTCGGCATCCGGGACGGTGGGCGTGTACACGCCGGGCGTGATACACGGCCTCAACACGACGGCCACCACCCATGATATTGACGTTGTGATGGACGACGCCGTGGACGGCAATCGGCACCTGCGCGTGCCCAACGTCCTGCACGCGGAGCCCTGTCCGGTGATCAGCGACCAGAGTCCGCCGGCCGCCGAACTGGTCGTCGGAGTGCGGGTGTGCGTCCGCCACGGGGAGCGGCGGGTGTACGTGGAGGGGACGGTGTGCGGGGTGGACACGGGCAAGTGTCCGCCGGTGCTGCGGGTGGCGGTTAGTACGGCGGCGGCCGCGGTGTTGGGGGAGGAGGGGGGAGGAGCACAGCGGATGGATAATCATGATCTCGTTATTGTCACGGTCTCGCGTCTGCACATTCGCCTGCTGCGGCCGCCCTGGTATGAGGATCTGATGGTCATGGGGCAGGCCGGTGGGGGACGGGGGATGGCGGGGAGTAATGGGGCGCCGGGCCTGACCGGCGCCATGCAGCCAGCAATGCATCTGAATACGGGTAAGGGTGGCGGCGGTTTTTCGCTATTTATTTTCGCATTGTGCTTTAAAAAACCAGTTATAACTTGTAACTTGTTGTGGCTTTCTATCTCCCACAACAGCGTAGATGTTACGAATGCGTTGTAGAAGAGTGGCTCATTCCACTGTGAAAACAAACGAGAGAAGTGAATGCATTTCAGTATAGATATCATTAAATGGAAATTAATCTCGTAAAATGAGTAACGCGTTTTCTTTTTACTGATTTTTCTGGATTGCTTGGCTGGCGTTGTTGAAATTCCTGCGTTCTGAAAAAGTGCAATTAATTTTGGAATTTCCAGTTAGATTAAGAAAATGATTTTTCGATTGGGCTGAAGTTAATTACAGTTACTGAAAAAGAATTAGAAAATTGTGTAGGTTAATGTTTTTTAATGCGCAATGCGCAATTGCGCATACAACCACAGAATTTTGAAGTAAATTGAAGGTGAATTCTGGTTCACTCGGTACAAACCACCAGCCAAAAAGCTGGCCGACATTGCCGGGGACAATCGATAATTTCATTCTGTCCCATAGCGGAGAAAGCGGTACCTTTCTGGCGTTTTCTGCCCGACAATACCCGGGCACAGCGCGTCTGTTGTCTGGACGCCGTCAGCAGAAATTCAGTTGCACTGCGAAATGCCATTGATACCACCGCAGGGTTACCCGGGGAAAATATCGATTTTATTTTCGCGGTCCAAAAAGCAGGGAAGAGAATAAACAGTGGTACAGTCATCTGGCCCGGTTTAATGATATGTTGTCGGCAGTGTGAGGGTTGCATTGATCGGAGGGACGTATAATTATGCCGGCGATGCTGTCGGGTGGGTTTTTTGGGTGCGGGTGGATTTTGCAATGCAGTGCGAGAGAGAAAAATATTGGCCGCGGGCCATGTGTCAGTTGGAAGGAAAAATGTCAGTGGATATTTCGGCGAATTGGTTGTAAGAGAGCAGTGTGATGCGGGTGCCTGGGTTTCTCAATGAGTTGAGGACAGGGTTTTTGAGAAAGAGAGACGGGTTAGTGATCGGTTGAGCGCGGATGACATTGAGACGCGCTGCACGTGTGCTGGCGGTGGCGGTGGCGGGCGGTGATCCGTGTGGGATTAGGCGGAGATTTGTGTGTGGCGGGGAGGGTTGTTAGTTGTTGGAGATGTTGTTTTGAGAGTGGCATTGGTCGGGTGTTTGGCATACATTGAGAAAAATTGGTCAGGCCGTGTTTTGCGGAGGTTGAATGTGTGGATGAGGAAAAAATCATAGGGCGAAGATGAGTAAGAGAAAAAATTGAACGAAGAATGGTGTGCTAGGAAATAATGATCTGGCGATTTTTTGCAGTGAAAAACATAACAGCAGGGTTTCGTTTTCGCAGCTTGAGACTTAATACATTGTGAACATTGAACTTGATACATTGATTCCCATGAATAATATTATACGATCCTGGTAGCGATTTTGTGTCAATTAAGACGAAACGTAAAGGAGAAAAAATATAAAGAATAAAGATGCCGGGGAAAATAGTAAAAAACAAAAAGAATACAGTTAAAGAATAGCAAATCAGTGTTCATGTTATTTTGCTGCACAGGTTAAAAGTTTGAAATTTTCACGATTTTTTGGAAGATCATTATGCATTTAATTTGCTCAGCAGACGGACGAATACATAATTCTGGATTTTGCGTGAATGTTCTTGCGAACTGTTGATAACGGTTGGGATTAATATTTTCCAATATCCGTTACCGTTAGTAACTTGGTAGATTACCGCTGTTTTACAGTCCGTACTCAGCATTTCAGTAAAATCATTCTAATAAAATATATTTTGATTAATGTGGACAATTTGTTTTTTTTTTCGGTTAAAATTTTGTTAAATAGAAGTGTACACAATCTGGAAATCTTCATGCAGGTCCGATAGTCAGCAATCCGGCGACGACGACGGTCTCCGAGCCCAGCCCGCCGGACTCCTCGGACGACGAACTGAAAGTGGACTTTGTGGAGACCAGCAACAACAACTCCAACGCCTCCACGCCGGGCCAATCCCGCTCGGCCAGCAAACTGCAAATCCACCTCCCGGACACCACCCCCCTGGCCTTCCCGCCCTCCAGCGCCCTTTTATTAGACAACAGCGCCTCCAACGCCTCTTCAGAATGCCCCATCAACAGCAACGCCAACTCCCCGTCCCCGCGGGGCTACAAAAAAGGCGACGTCATCTCGTTAACCAACGGGATCCGGAAAAAATTCAACGGGAAGCAGTGGCGCAAGTTATGCATGGAAAAAGGCTGCAGTAAAGAGTCGCAGCGAAGGGGATACTGTAGTCGGCATCTGTCGATGCAGAGCAAGTCCTCCTCGGCGGCGGTGACCCCGGCGTCCTCTCCCAGCCATGGGACCGGGGGGTTCTATTTTGGCCTGGCACAGCAGCGGGTGAAGCACGCCTCGGGGACGAGTAATGTCAGTCATCAGCGCAGTGACGAGTGGGAGGTGGAGAGCGGGAGTCGTGGGTCGGAGTCGTGGTTGGGCGGGTTGGTGGTGGAGCGGCAGGCGTCCAGTGGCGGCGGGACGAAGAGCGCCGAGGACGAGACGGAGAGCGGCGGGGTGGTGATGATGCGGGGGATCAGTCGCACCGGGAGCCCCCGGTGGGGGTGGAGGAGCGCACGGTGATGGGGTACATACCGGTGCCGGGTGAGTGGGACTCTTGGCTTGTGCGCTGGAATAATTATTTTAATCGGGATTTCTTCAATAATTATTTCAATATGAATTTCTAAGAGATTTAAGAATTATTCCTGATTTAAGAATACTAAAAAGGTCACATTTTGCTACATTTGAGAATTATTCCATTTTTTATTGGATTAATTCCTTAATTCAGTGTGGTTTAACTAATTGGATCAATACTATTATGTACTTTTAATGTACACGCTTTTTTTATTTAATTTTTGATTAACTGTTAATTTTTTTTAGATTTTGCTTGATCCTGCTGTTTTGCAACTGGTGATACGTCAATTGTTTATTTGTTAATTTTCTGTTAAACTTAGAAATTGTGATCGGCAGGCAAAAACCCGCGTGTTGTTCCTAAACTGTTTTTGTTTCTTAACACAAGAAACTTAATTACGTCGCTGGGGAAAAATCTGGTTTTTTTTGTTATTTTTTATTCGGCAATAACCGCTTTCTGTAAAGAAACCGTCGCCATGCACTACATTTAACGATGTAAAACTTCTCGTGTAATGTGTATTGATTATTCGCCTCCGAAAAGTTGTAGTTCCATTTACGCTAACGTTGTGCTGATGGTGGTGTGTTTGTGTGTGTAGCGAGTAGTGCCTACGGCGGCGCACGCCAGCCGGGCTCCATTATCGCCGGTACATTCAGCCCGTCGTTCCTGGGTAATCCCGGCAAGATGGAGGGATTTTACGGGCCGCCACGGGCCAGCAACGGCGCACTGCCGGCACCCGCAGCCGCCGTCGCGGTGGAGGCCGGGGAGAAAGAGAGCAGTGAGGCCGCGAGGTCAAACGGCGTCCCATCCGTCTCTGTCAGTCTCAACGGCTACTGTAATGGCCTGCGCAATAACGATAAGCCGACGGGGCATCCACTCGGTGAGTGCCGGCTGTGCACTAGATTTTGTACTGCATTACCCAGAAAATGCACTCTATACTCACTACTCATTCTGGAAAGTGGCTGGATTCGGCCTATTGTATACGATCAAAATAATAATTTCCAGAAATTGGTCCTTACGCAAAAAACAATACGGGAATATAATGAAATTTTATTGTCTTAGATTATTATATTTATTATGAATTAATTCAGATGAGACTTCTTATTTTGATTAGACTAGATTATTAATTTTATTGTTTTTGGATTATTATTAAACCGGGAAACATACCAGCTTTCTCAGTTTTTAATGAATTTCACGTGATTCTGAATTGCTTATAAATAAGTTTAATTAATTTGGGTCAGCGCAGGCTTTTATGTGAATTGTCAAGTGAACTGGCGGTGGCCGGAGAAAATTAGGTATGCAACTTTCTTTTTATAAAATTTGTCAACATGTTGATTTTACGGAGAAATTAAATCACAGAATTAAATCGCCGAATAAACTACATTTAGTTCGATAAATACTCGTATTTGACCAGTATGTTTGTTGATTCATGAGGGACAGAGGGAGGCAGTTTTAATATGGAAAATATATATTCGCAGTTTTACCGGAAATTCTGTTTTATGTATCACGGGGACATTCGAATCCCTGAATTACTTCCTAATTTTTAGTCTCCGAATTAATTGGTAATTGATAAAAATTTCTGCCTTTAAAAGAAATTTTAAAATAATTCATGGAAAAAATGAAATAACAAATTTCGCAGCCGAAATAGTGCCAATAATTGGTGGATTATTTATCAGGTTACAATTCCGCCCCACCAACCGACACAGCCCCGCCCCCCGTCCCCACCCCCGCCGTGCCCATCCCCATCTTCCCCTGGCACCAGCTGGTCCCCTTCCTCCCGGACGACACGAACAAGGAGGACGGCGGGAAGACCCACCACAAACTGCTGGACGACCCGCGCCCCGCCCACACCCGCTCCCCGGCCGTGACGGTGGGGACCACCACCGTCCGCCACGACTCCGTCAGCACCACCATCAACGGGACGGGCGCGCCCAGCGGCGGCGACCTGATTGACGAGTGCGAGGACGACGTGTTCGAGACGTCGGACCACGAACCCTCCAGCAGTCGGGGCCGCGGCGGAGGGGGCCCGGGAGGGGATTTTGCGCTGCCGCCGTCGCCGTCCAGTAAGGACGAGGGCCAGCCGCATATCCGGCGCCCGATGAACGCGTTTATGATCTTCAGTAAGCGGCACCGGCCGCTGGTGCACCAGCGCTATCCCAATCAGGATAATCGGACGGTGTCGAAGATTCTGAGTGAGTGGTGGTACGCGTTGGAGGCGGAGAGTAAGAAGGAGTACCAGAAGTTGGCCGGGCAGATTCGCGATGCGCATTTCAAGGTAAACATTCGTTCTTGAGCGGGAAGCGCAGTGTGCAGTTGAAGTTTAAAAAGTAATTATTCAGTAGTATTTTTTTTTATTGTATTGTTCTTGCCGCTTACGAAATACAGGAGGTTGTAAAAATAAACGGAAATAAAAATTGATTTTGTTTCATTGTATTGTTTCGTTGGATCGCCGGATTTCAGATGATTTTTTACGGTTTGACCTTTAACGGTAGTGTGATTTTATTTTTGATTTGTTTATTATTTTCTTGATTTATTTTTAATTATTTTCTTCTGTATGAGAAAATTAATATTGGTGTTCCATCAACGCGGAGAAATTGTGGATAGGGTCAATGGTGTGAAAGCCTGAAAGCGTGACTTGGTTTTTAAATCTCGTTGCGCTTGTGAATTATTGTGATACCATCGTAGTGCAATGGCGTTTGGGTTTGTCTCACGACTTGAAAAGTCTAGATTTCTGATTCTTCCAGTAATATGCAATCGGTAGAATTTTTTTTATTTCCCGTTTTCTATCAAAAAATCACTTTCCTATCTTGATTTTTGGAATGACACCGCGGAGAAAAGCGTGGGATTGAAACGATAGAATTAAGTTTTAACAGAAAGGCACATTGAGGATACATTAGATTATTCAAAATAACCGAAGGGAAGTGTTGTTTGTTAAATGGTTTTTATTATGCCGTTTTGGAATTTTTGTACTTAATTTAAAATCTTAATCGCGATCCTACTATTTATCCATATAACTAATTATTATATTTATATCATTAATCTTATATATGTATAAATGTACATTTACACCTTTTTTTATTTATTTATTTTTGTTTATTATTTTTATTTATTTTTATTATTTCCAGGCGCATCCCGACTGGAAGTGGACGAGCAAAGACCGGAAGAAATCCTCGTCCCGGCGCGACGAGGACGGCGAAGACGTCAGCGAGGAAACGGACCGCGAGCCGTCGCTCCCGTCCTCCCCGACGAAAACGAAGAAACGCCGGACCACCAAAGCCTCCCGCTCCACCACCCCGCCCCCCGACGAAAAACCCTCCGGCGTCGCCTCCCCGTTTCTCAACATCCCCAGCATCTCGTCCCCCCTGCGGATGGACGCCGCGCGCCAGCCACCGCCCCCGGGGGCGGTGGTCTTCACCATGGCCAGTAAGGTGCCGGCGCCGCAGACGCTGAGCGCCGCCATGACGCCGCCGCCCAACCGGCCCGCGACGATCATCACGACGCCCGGAGGGGGGTACCAGTACTTTGTCCCGGGGTTCAACTACGTCCCGGTGGTGCGGCCCGCCTCGCCGGGGGTCATCCGCAGTGTCGCGGAGCAGCAGAACGTGCTGGCCATGGGCGGCCCCAAGGTGTACCTGCAGGCGCCGCCGCAACGCCCGATGCTGATCGGGCCCGGGATCGGCGGGATGGGGGTGGTGTCGCGCTGGCCTTATCAATCGTGAGTACACTGTCTTCTTCTTTTGGCTATACAATTTCACATTTTTTACGTTTATTTGATGAAAATGTAGCGATTGGTATTATCTTTTTTAATAGAAATATTCGAATTGTTTTCTGTTTCCTTTATTTTCTGTTTTTCTATTTCCGATTTATTATTATATTTAATAGAAATATTCCGATTTTTTAATCTTTTAATTGACAGAAATTTTAGAATTATTATTATTTTGTTATGGCAAAAAATACTGAAATATTATAGCTTATGAATAAGAAGACAGAGTTCACCTTCTGTAATGTAGTTATACATGATCAGGCTGTTATTGTTATCGATTTACTAAAATATTCTGGATGCAGAATCAAGTAGATCTTTCTCCGATTTCTGAAGAAATAAATTTCCAGTAAAATACAGCATTTTTTTATAATTAAATCAGCGTAATTTTGATAAAAATTGTGGTAACTGGTATGTATTGGCGCAGGGTGCTGTCGATGCCGATGGGCATGCGGCCGGTGATGGAGACGGCGTTGCCGGCGCAGCGGACCCCCGATCCAGCGCCGGATATGCCGGATGAGAAAAAGGTGTGCTAATCCCTGCTCAGAACACTGGGGTGCTTCACAGTCAGTCTCGCTTCTCTCATTGTTCATGTAAGCCTTCGTGATCGTCATGTGCTTGTTGAATGCTTGAGTATATTGTGCCTTGGTGGTTGCTACGGTTGTGGCTGGGGGACTGGCTGGTTGAGTTGATCCCCAGAGAGGTGGGAGGTGGTTTGCGCAATGGGCTGTGATTGGTTGTAGATGGTTTCATCAGCGTCGTCGTCGTTGGCCGGGACGGAGGGGGGTTTGTTCGTCCTGGCGCCCACCCCCGCGCAGCTGGGCCGGGCGCCCGGACAGCGGACGCGTTCGCGGTCCGTGGAGGAGGAGGAGGAGGCGGGCGGGGGCGGGGTGGGGCTGTTCCGCAAGTCGGCCGATGAGGAGCGCGAACGGTGAGGATTACACGGAATTATTTTCTCTTTTCGTGGATTGAACGCTTTTTCTCGGGCTCGCGTGCGTTTTTAACAACAGATCGATTTTTATCGGTTTTCCATAATCGATTGTACGGCGATTTATTTTTTTAACTGAATTTTTTGAACAATTATTTTGCCGGAGTAATTTCTGGAATATTTATTTTAAAGTATTTTTTCTTGGTATATTTTTATAATATAAATTGTATGTAAGCGTCTTTTACAAAAGCTTATGTTTTTCTAGCCAAGCGTTTTTGAGTTATTTTTTATTATACACGTTTTGTTTTTAAAAAATGGACGTTAAAATGAATTTTTTGCGGATGGTAATTAAGTGATTATGATTTTTTTTTGCGTTAACTACCTTAATTTTAGCGCCTAAATCAAATAAGTTACTATCAGCTTTTGAAATGCAACACCAATAGCAGGTTATTGAGGCACTTGAAAACAGTTTAAATTAATTTAAATAATTAGTAAGGAAAATTTTGGTTGCACGCTGGGTGTTGTTAGTGATGTGTGGGTGTATGCAGTGGCATTGAAGGCAAGTTTTAGAAAAATAAGGAAGTCAGAAAATTTTAAGAAAATGAGGTAGAATACTAATTAAAAATTAATATAAACTAATCGTAAGGAAACTAACTGTATGGCGCGCTGCAGGGTGCTGTCGAAAGTGGACTTTGCCAGCCGGTTCAACCAGCTGCCACAGTTCCGCGTGGAAGGCGAACCGGTGTCCCCGCTCTTAGTCAACACGCCCAGCGCCCAGGAGTTGGTGGGGAGCTACCGCAAGAAACGCTTCCCCAGCGTCTCCCGTCCCTCCACCACCGACCCGGACCTGGAGCCGGTGACGCCCAACAGCAGCAGCCTGGACACCGCGGCCCTGTCGCCCAAGTTGTTAAGTGCCGGACCCATGTCGGCGGCGTCGACCAGCTCGGAGGGGAACATGTTCTTCGGCAGCTCCTTCAGTCTGGCCACCATGAGCGACTCCATGCGGGCCGAACTGGAGAACGGCGTGCTGGAGAGTCCGCGGACGCCGCGTACTCCGGCCGATAGTTCGTCGCTGCGCAAGACGCTGGATCAGCGCCGACAGGCTGTTATGGAGCTGTTCCAGGAGGAGGGGACCTTCTTCCCGACCGGTAAGCATTGCGGAGGTTGTCCCAAAGGTCGATGGCGCGACTGTCCATTTTCTTGTTTTATGTTTTGTGTTTTTCGTCAAATTTTGGCTTGGTTTGGTTTGTCTATCCATTTTCATTGCTCTTTTTGAAGTTTTGGTTTTTTTGGGGTTTGAATTTATTCTGATTTTTTTCCTGTTAATATGAATTTTTTCCTTGTTTTCCGGTTGAATTTACTCGATAATTTCCACCATTCTTACTAATCGTAAGGTTTTTTCACTTTTTTCCATTTGAATTCATTCAGTGAATTTTGAGAGAATTAAAATTATAAACTTTTTTCTCCTATTTGGACTTTAATATTTTCCGAAATTTATTTCTTAAATTGCTGTGTAGTCAGTTTTCAGTTGTTGTTTAATTTGTTATAAAATTTTGCTGGTTGTTGAGCATTTTTTTTAGATAATCCTTTATTGTTTATTCTCATTTCCACCCATTTTTGCGAAAGTTTTTAATTCACAGTTTTTCTAGATTGTAACTTATTTACAAATTTTTTTTTATAAATTTTAGCTGCCGTTGCTAATTTTTTATAAAATTAAGAAACAAATAATTCTCATTTTTTTGAATTTCTATTGCAGCCCAGAAGACGACGGCCTTCCAGAAGCGGCACGAAGAGCTGTTCCCCACGAAATCCTGTCTGCAGCTGAAGATCCGCGAAGTCCGCCAGAAACTCATGGCCCTCAGCCAGTCGCACCTGGCCGGACCGCCGCCGCCGCTGCCGCCGCCCGACCCGGCCGCCTCGCATCACCACCGCCACCCGGACACCGGCGACGACTAACACACACAGCACGCATCACTCACCCTTCATTCTGCATTTTCCCACGTGGTTCCTTCGTTTCTTGGATGATACTGACGCACCTTCACTGCCATTACCTAGAGCAATCTGCAGACAAAATTTATTATTATTCTCGATGGATGCGACCGATTCCCTGTATCACACGGGGCACACGGTGATCATAGTGTTTTTGGCGAGCGGTAAATCCGGCGGAGGATGGAAGATTCCCTGTACTGGTTCATGTTAAGTGATTCTGGTGCTACTGGAAACTGCCGAATGCGCCGAGTTGATTTTATGATTTTTTGCCCATTTTCATGACCGGATTGGTGATAGCTGACACGGATCGGAAATTGATTTGTTGATTGTTTTGCCAGGATTGATTGCGCGGTGGGTCCTCTTCGAAGAGGACATTTTGATCGATTTGATTGTGATAAGTGTGTGGAATTATTAAGCACCTGCAATTCAGAAAAATGCCGGATTTTCGCATGGATTTCTCCGTTTTATTCTCTTTCTCCGTGGGATGAGAGGATAAAAGCGGGAATTATTTTTATTTTACCGTTCCGTAGTTGTGAGAATGCGCGAGACGTTGAGGGATGGTTTTGTTGTTGGGTTTTTTATAAATGGATGCGCGGAAAGGACGGAAAAAAGCATAGAAATTACTTGATTTTCATTTTCTCACGGTTGCGATTTTCTTCTGTTTTTTTCTCTCATTGGCATTTTTTTCTGGTTGGTTTTCACCGTCATACGCACGCAGTTCACTAACAATTCGGTGGGATTGGATTAATTGATTTTTTTGAGTTTTATATAATTTCGCGCGTGTTCTCTTTTTTTTCGGTGAATTTTCGGGGGATTTTTGTTTGGTGTTTTTTTTTTCTCGTGGCGGGAGAGGAGAACGATGGACTGGAATGCGGGGGCTGTTTTTTTGATATCTTTTAGTATTGGTTTGTTTTGTTACGAAACAAAGGAATCTTGGTGTCGTGATGGAGGGATGGCGGAGTTAATTAATACAATTATATATATGAAAAGAGTGTACACTGGATTGTATGCTGCTGCGATGTTCTGATAGTATTCTGGGCGCGCTTGGTTGTCTGTGGCTCTTGCACCCTGTTGATGGTGGTCCCTTTTGGTATTAGTCCCCCGCTTGGTTTGCCTTCAGATTCGAGTGTTGTTGCGATGAACACTTTGGCTTTAAACGTCTTGATATCTACACGTCTCTTTCATTAATGCTGGTTTTATAGGCTGAAACGCGTTCTAATTATATCGGTAACTATATGCCATTTGGGAAATAAAATACTCGGAAATTACCGTCTTCGATCGCGGAATTGTATCGTACTTTCGAATTTGGGCGAGTAAAACGAGCTTCCTACGTGGTATGCTCGTAGACGAATACTTAGGCCTTTACAGCGCCGGTTCTGATGCCACATCAGTCTGGCTCAGTAAATAAAAACCATTTATTAAAAATTAAGAAATACTGTACAAACATACTGCACTTACTTATATTGTTAGCTAAGAGGCCAAAAAAGATTCTAGGTCTACAACACAAGCGGCAAAAAGTCTACAACACCCGGTGTTCCCAAGCGGTCACCCATCCAAGTACTAACCGGGCCCGACGTAGGTTATCTTCCGAGATCGAACGGGATCGGGAGTTTTCTACGTGGTATGGTCGTAGACAAATGCTTAGATATTTGCAGCGCCGGTTCTGATGCCGAATCAACCCGGCACAATTAATAAAACCCACTAAATTTAAATACTGAATAATTAAGAAAAAATAACTAAAATCAGTACTCGTATAATAAGCTAATAGACCAAAAAGTCGTCTAGATAAAAGGCAAAAAGTCTACAACACCCGGTGTTCCCAAGCGGTCACCCGTCCAAGTACTAACCGGGCCAGACGTAGGTTATCTTCCGAGATCGAACGGGATCGGGAGTTTTCTACGTGGTATGGTCGTAGACAAATGCTTAGATATTTGCAGCGCCGGTTCTGATGCCGAATCAACCCGGCACAATTAATAAAACCCACTAAATTTAAATACTGAATAATTAAGAAAAAATAACTAAAATCAGTACTCGTATAATAAGCTAATAGACCAAAAAGTCGTCTAGATAAAAGGCAAAAAGTCTACAACACCCGGTGTTCCCAAGCGGTCACCCATCCAAGTACTAACCGGGCCCGACGTAGGTTATCTTCCGAGATCGAACGGGATCGGGAGTTTTCTACGTGGTATGGTCGTAGACAAATGCTTAGATATTTGCAGCGCCGGTTCTGATGCCGAATCAACCCGGCACAATTAATAAAACCCACTAAATTTAAATACTGAATAATTAAGAAAAAATAACTAAAATCAGTACTCGTATAATAAGCTAATAGACCAAAAAGTCGTCTAGATAAAAGGCAAAAAGTCTACAACACCCGGTGTTCCCAAGCGGTCACCCGTCCAAGTACTAACCGGGCCAGACGTAGGTTATCTTCCGAGATCGAACGGGATCGGGAGTTTTCTACGTGGTATGGTCGTAGACAAATGCTTAGATATTTGCAGCGCCGGTTCTGATGCCGAATCAACCCGGCATAATTATGAAAAAGCCAATTAAAATAAATACAATAACATAAATAGTTAACAAATTACGTACAAAATATTTTAAGTAGTTAGCTAACAGGCCAAAAAGCCGTCCATTTAAAGGCTAAAAGTCTACAACACGCGGCGTTACCAAGAGGTCACCCATCCAAGTATCTGTATACACTAAAGACCAGCAAATAACAAAGCAGCTTTCGACATCCCACGCAGCAATATGCTTCTTCCTTGTCAACCTGGAAGTACACATCTTCGTTGTCAAATCATGTGGCTAAATGTATCGAGAAGAAAAACGACATTTCCGTGCTGAAATTCGATACCGGTTTTCTGGCGTAAAAAAGCGCTCCGTTTTTTTACGCCAGAAAAATGGGGTTGCCTCTGCAGGGGGAGGTAGGGTTGTCATCCCACCCTGATTTTTGAGGTGGGATGTGATGGGATTGTGATCGTGAAGTGATGGGAATAGTGGGATTGGTGGGACGAAAATAAAATAAATTTTAATGAATTATATTTTTTCGAAAACAAAATATTTTATTGTTTTCATAAAGTATAAATGTTGTAAAGACAGTTATCACAAGTGAGAAAGGCATTATCAATGAAATCAAATGGACTGTTGTGGAAGAGGCGTAGCGTACCGTAATGACAAAAGTGCTAAAGGTCTTTCTTATAAAGTTTTCCCCAGGCACCGCTCGCCTGATTTTTAAAAGAAGAAAAGTTTGTAGCGCGAAAACGTTATGCGGAATAACTGAAGCAGAGTAAATTTTGGCACTAAAACACATATTTTCGGGCACTGGAAAACTATTCCATCACTTCCCAATCCCATCATTCTTCCCATCACATTATCACAACCATAATTCTTTGGCATGATGGGACTGGGAACAGGAAATCGGCGTGATTGTGATAGCGTGTGATGACGTGATGACAACCCTAGGGGGAGGGGAGCAAGGGTTGCCTCTGCAACCGCTGACAAAGGGAGATTTCGTCAAGGCCTTTCGGCATGAGCACATTTAGACATAGTGCCATTCCGGCAGGAAACTGATGTTTTCTTATGTTTTCTTAGGTTTTTGCGGGTCTTTATAGCTTTTATAGATTTAAGGTTTCTAGATTTTTATTTGTTTAGCATTTTAAGCGTTTTTTGCTTTCTCCGCTATCTTAAATTCCGTAAGTTTTTATATTTCTAAGATATTATTGTTTCAGATTTTTGGCCGTATATACCGAAAGAAACGCTGAAATGTTTTATGGTAAAGTGCCCAAAGCGAAAGTTAGAGTCTGCAAAAGTCCGTTTTACGCATACCGAAAAGTCGAAAGCGACACAATCGGTAGAGCCTCCAGTTATCTGCAACTGCTGCGAATGCTGAGGATGGCATAACTAACCATGTAGATTAGGAGCAAGACAGGAACTGCTGCAATCACGAGAAATAAACACACAAGTTTTGATATTATACTTACCTGCTCCGACACGCTAGATGGAAGAATCGATAAGCGTGATCCTGTCACCAGGCAATACTGGGAAGTACAAAGACCGACGGAAGAGTACAAATAAATGAGAAGCAAAGGTCGCCTGCTATACAACATTACAGTCCGAAGATGGCTGTGAATGTCGGCAAAGGTCAGGACAGGCGAGGAGGTGTGACAGTCACAGTGATCACTAGCTGTACGCCTGTACCACACTCGAAAGCGAAAACCAGAAGCAAACCGTGAATGTAATCACATGGAGGTCAGATCTTTGGTTTGTTGGTATTACAATGCTTAATCTGAGTTAATCTTATAACAGTGCTCCACTGAGCTCGAATACCATCCGGCACCCAAAGATGCCTTAACGAGAACAACCCGTACTAGACAATGACCATTGGCTAATAGAATGCCGTCGTGTGCCAATAAAATTACGTGCACCAATTAATATTGCTATCATATAATATGATACAGCTATAACTAGAGCGCAAGAGGAAACGAAAAGCGAAAAAATTACATGCCACATGAGCGTAGGGATTCTGTATACACATCACAGTACGATGGCTGCAGAGGCTGCGCGAAATGGGCATACGCCGACTGGACAAACCACTCGCTGCGGCGGTCCCGGTTGCGCAACCAGCAGGCGACGTACCTGTGGTGACCTAGTACTGGCCTTCTCCTCCCCTCAAACCTGGAACAAATATTTCGCAACAAAACCCGGCATACCCAACGAAAACTTATATCCATAATATAATCACAGCACCGCCGGTTACCAATACCATCCACAGCGACGCAAAGCTAGTCGTCATGCCGCCATCAGCACTTTCCATAACGTCAGCGGCAATACCGCCGCCCAGATGGTGGAATGCCCGCTTTTTTGTGGACGGCGATCTGTGCTTTCTCCGTGCATGCAACGGCGCCCCCGTCTCTTGCAAAATAAAGCTGCGCATATGCCCAGCGTATCTTTAGCGCTGTGGACCTTCTCCATAATGCAAAGCAGCACAGCGGGCAAAACATGCACACTAGCCGAGATACTGATGGCTGCTGGCACAGACTTTGCCCATCTTTTGGTTGGGCTGAAAATTTTCCCCATCTTTTCCAGCCCATCCCATTTTTTAGATGAAATGGGGATGGGATGAGGACAAGCAGCGGATGGTCTGAGATGGGCTGATAATGTTGGAAGATGGGATGGGATCAAGAAAAAATGATTTTTAAATAAATTTTTAAAATTTTCATGATTTTTTTAGCTAAAAACTCACGGAAATTCATCTTTTCAGTCGAAAAAAATAAAAAATTTCCGCGCTCCGCGCGGATTTTAAGCTGTTTGCTGTTTAATATTCTAAATTCGCCTGGAATTTCTGCGCTACGGGTTGATTTTTACGCGTTAATTTTTTCACTTTGCTAATCTTCAACAATTTACAGTACTGAAAATTTTTTAAAAAATGGGCTGAAAATGGAGCCTCAAAGCTGGACAGGGCTGGTGAACTAAGGTGGTTGGAGATGGCCTGGGATGGGAGTTGCGCACGACAGAGGGGGATGAAATGGGGATGGGAAAAGTCGAAGATGGGCAAAGTCCTGCCTGCAACCTCGGGAAATGTTTGCTTAGTTTTTCTCTTCCGGTCATAGTTGGAGCTGTACGGTTGATTAAGCAGGCGAACATTCTATAGGTAGGTCTCATATTTCAGCGGTCTAGTTAATTGGAGAAAAGTTTACCACACCCTATGATCCGGATCCCAAGCGGCCATCCATCCAAGTATTAACCAATTAAGTTGTATTCCGAGATCGATCGGGATAATGATAAGTGAACGTATTTCCTTCATTGTACACTAACACGACAGAGAATACTGCCGAATCCCATTAATGATCTTTGCTGTACACGCTCATTACAGGTACTGAATCCCTCAAATACAACTTCAGCAGAATACTGAGGAATAAACGTACAAAACAGACGTCTTTTACAGTAACACAGATAACTACGCGAAGATTGTTTATGCAATTGTTGTGAGCTCCTTTTTACCGGTGCGCGCAATTGTATACAGTACATGCGTGACTGCAGGCCATAACAATGATAAGGGAGTTAGTTCTCTACGCGGTATGGTCGTCACAATTATCAAAAAGTCATTTTAATAAAATACTTTTTTCTGAATATTTAACAAAATATAAGCAAGTTAAGTATAGTGAACTAACAGGCCAAAAAAGTCGTCTAGTCAAAAGGCAAAAAGTCTACAACACCCGGTGTTCCCAAGCGGTCACCCATCCAAGTACTAACCGGGCCCGACGTAGGTTATCTTCCGAGATCGAACGGGATCGGGAGTTTTCTACGTGGTATGGTCGTAGACAAATGCTTAGATATTTGTAACACCGGTTCTGATGCCGAATCAACCCGGCACAATTAATAAAAAGCCATTTTAATTAAATACATTTGTGTGAATAATTAACAAAATATAAATAAAATAAATATAGTTTGCTATTAACCAAAAAGCCGTCTATGTAAAAGGCAAAAAGTCTACAACACCCGGTGTTCCCAAGCGGTCACCCATCCAAGTACTAACCGGGCCCGACGTAGGTTATCTTCCGAGATCGAACGGGATCGGGAGTTTTCTACGTGGTATGGTCGTAGACAAATGCTTAGATATTTGTAACACCGGTTCTGATGCCGAATCAGCCCGGCACAATTAATAAAAAGCCATTTTAATTAAATACATTTGTGTGAATAATTAACAAAATATAAATAAAATAAATATAGTTTGCTATTAACCAAAAAGCCGTCTATGTAAAAGGCAAAAAGTCTACAACACCCGGTGTTCCCAAGCGGTCACCCATCCAAGTACTAACCGGGCCCGACGTAGGTTATCTTCCGAGATCGAACGGGATCGGGAGTTTTCTACGTGGTATGGTCGTAGACGAATGATCAGATATTTATAACGCCGGTTGTGATGCCGAATCAACCCGGCACAATTATTAAAAAGCCATTTTAATTAAATACATTTGCGTGAGTAATTAACAAATTACAGATACAATAAGGGTAGTTAGCTAAAATGCCAAAAAGCCGTCTAGTTAAAGACAAAAAGTCTACAACACCCGGTGTTCCCAAGCGGTCACCCATCCAAGTACTAACCGGGCCCGACGTAGGTTATCTTCCGAGATCGAACGGGATCGGGAGTTTTCTACGTGGTATGGTCGTAGACGAATTCGTAGGTATTCATACCGCCGGTTGTGATGTCGAACTACCAGGCACAATTATTAAAAGCTATTTAATTACATACATTTGTGTGAATAATTAACAAAATAAAAATAAAATAAATATAGTTAGCTATTAATCCAAAAAGCCGTATATTTAAAAGGCAAAAAGTCTACAACACCCGGTGTTCCCAAGCGGTCACCCATCCAAGTACTAACCGGGCCCGACGTAGGTTATCTTCCGAGATCGAACGGGATCGGGAGTTTTCTACGTGGTATGGTCGTAGACGAATTCGTAGGTATTCATACCGCCGGTTGTGATGTCGAACTACCAGGCACAATTATTAAAAGCTATTTAATTACATACATTTGTGTGAATAATTAACAAAATAAAAATAAAATAAATATAGTTAGCTATTAATCCAAAAAGCCGTATATTTAAAAGGCAAAAAGTCTACAACACCCGGTGTTCCCAAGCGGTCACCCATCCAAGTACTAACCGGGCCCGACGTAGGTTATCTTCCGAGATCGAACGGGATCGAGAGTTTTCTACGTGGTATGGTCGTAGACGAGTGCTTAGAGATTTGTAACGCTGGTTGTGACGACAAACCGATGTTGCTCGACTACTAAGAAAACCCAGTTTGCTTGAGAAACTTGTAGGAACTACTATTAAATTCGTCTCGAGACCGGAAAACATATGCACACATGTGCAATGTTGCACATGCATGGCAAAAAGCCGGTACATAATAGTGATTAGTTTCTTTGAATTTAACAATTTATTTCGTATCCGTAATCGGATCTCGCAGCTGCGAGAATAAAATATACGTTTAATTTTCTTGGCACATCGAATCGGTCACGACGGAAGCAAAGATGAACCCTACGGAGTAACACGGCATAGATGTACAAGAAGAAGAGAGAGAGAGGAGATAAACGAAAGACCAACAAAACAAAACAAGCAACCATTCGACGTCCCCCGCAAAACACACCGCGGACATCGACCAATCCGAGAAAAAAGCCGAAAACAGGAACCGAATTAAATCATATCCACAAATCCAACCGGCACACACAGTGTTCTCTGCGACGGAAACAACAACAAAATCACCCGCGATTTCTTCACAATTAAATTAACTCCCAGTTCCTCCTCGTTCACCGACGCTGCGACAGCAACGGCGTACTCTCCGGCTGATAATCCGGCCGCGGCGACTGCACCTCACTGGCGCTGTTCAGACCGCCGTCCGCAGGGCGGTGGGCCGGCGTCACCATCGGGACGAACTCGACGCTGGCCACGGTGGTCAGCGGGGAGTCGGCGGCCGGCCGCCCCGGGCCGGCGGAGCCGCTGCGGGCTAGCCGGCCCCCGCTGGGGGTGGCCGCGGGGATGACGCTGCCGGTCTCGGAGGAGACGGAGGCGCGCTCGTCGATGCGCTCGAGGTGCGGGGCGGTGGCGCTGGGCGCGATGTGCCGCATCTGGAGGACCTCGCCCTCTTCGTCGTCCTCGTCGCTGGGGATACCGGCGGTCGGCTTCCGGCGACTACGGTAACAAGGAAAACACACACCGATAAATATTAATACCGAATAGATTTTTCCCATTTTTTACACATCATTTTCCGAACTCTGAAGTCATTTTCTAAACACCATTAAAACCATTCTTATTTTATTCAATTTATTTTATTAAATCGACTAGAAATTTAAATTAAAGGTTTATCTGGCTTATTAAGTTGCTGTTTTAATATTTTATTTTTTGTTAATCTCAGTCCGGAATATTTTCTAATAAATTGCTTTAAAAATGGACCTTAAACAAATGCAATAAAATTAATTTTAAAAAATCAAAGTGCAATTTAAAAGACTCAGTGCGCATTTTTTGCGCTTTTAAAATTTTAAAAAAATAATTATCAATTTCACTAATATATTAAATTTGTCCAAAAACCAGTAATAAAATTCAAAAACATGAAACAACTATTACCTTCATAAAAATAAAATGTATAAAATTGTTAAATAAAGTGATGTTAAATAGTAACTAAAAATATTAAAGTGTATAAAAACTAAAGTTTATAAAAATATCAAGTATTGTTCGAAAGGTCAATGCGTACCTATTGGGCACATCGCCGGTATTGAACCGCACCACATCCTCCACGCCCTCCTCCGCCATACTGCTCAGACTCCCCGCATGGATCATGGATATCCGCATCTTGCTGCTCTCCCGCGAGATCTTCCGGCTGCGCTCCAGCTTCTCGGCGGCCGTCAGATTCCCGGGCACCGCCTTGTACTCCTTGGCCGCGCCGTCGACCCGCTTGTCGGGCTTGTCCTTGGGCCGGGCGGGGGCGCCGTTGCGGCGGCGGCCCAGATTGGCCAGGTTGGTCATGGAGGTGCCGACGCGCGACAGGAAGCTGCGGATGGGCATCAGGCCCAGGGCGCGCTGCCCAAACTGCCGTTTGGCGATGCGCTGGGCGCGGACGGCCCGTGCCCGCATCTGGTACTCCAGTTCCGACTCGTCGTCCTGGATCAGGTTGGGATTGTACTTCTGACGGATCTACATAGCGACAAATAAAAAACCGGTTATTTTTCCGATGAATATTTGGTGAATAAATATTTTATTTATTTGGCATTTTACTGCACTTCTATTCAATTTATTTATTTTACCTTTAAAATTTAATTGATTTTCGTTCAAATACGCTTTTCAATAAACGCAGTTTATTAAAATTCATGCTGTATTTTTTAACTGCTGACGGTCCATCACCTCGACAAAAAAAAAACACCGGTTTTTTTCCCGTTGAAAATTATTTGACAGTTTACTTGTCTTCTTCTAATTTATTTATCGAAAGTCCTATGCGCCCCAAATTTTTGGGCGCATAGAAGTGACCTTTATTCATTTTGCGTTTAAATCGGATTCATCTTCGTCGAGTTTTGGTTTTAACGAACGCGATTTATAAATTTTTTCGCTGTGATTATCGGACTATTTTACTGCAAAATAAATTTTACTGCAGATTTTCTAATTGAGTACTATTTACTCGTTATTATTTACGGTATGCATGCTTTTCCATTTTTTTTTATCTTCAGTTTTTCCCTATTTATTTTTCATATTTTCCAGTATTTTCAGCACTTTATTAATCATCCAAATATATTTTTTCGCTATTTTCTCCGGTCGTACCTGTACATGCGGTCCATGCCGGGAGGCATGATCGAGCGCTTCACGGACATCATGGCCGAAGCTGATCTTGGTCTTGTCCTCCTTCCGGAAGCGCTTCCGCAGCCGGTTGAGGACGCTCTCATCCGGCTTGTACTCCTCGGCGCCCATCACCGAGATCTCGTTGGCCGTGGGGAGATTCACCGTCAGCGCGGTGGGCGCCGGGGGCTGGGTGCCCCCGGGGGCGGTCAGCCGGCCGCCGGCCATGTTGGGATGGCTGGGGAAGGCGTGCATGTCGGCCAGCGTCGGCACCGTCGACAGGCTGGACAGGGCCGAGCCCTCGCGGCGCATCCGCCGGTTGACGAACTGATCGGCCTGCTGCGTGCCGTACAGATGAGCAAAATGTTCCCTAATAAGGTCAACACCATTTTCAGCGCAATTTAAATACAATTTTCATACAGATTTTAATTTTCAGACACATTATTTTAATTTTTCATTTTTTTAAAATTTTAGTAAGATCAATCCTCAGTTCATTTATTATTTTGGTTAAACTAAAAATTTTACCATTAACATTTTACAGTACAAATTTCAATTAACTTTAGTTTACAAAAATTTTGGTAGCACCAACCACTTTAATTTGAGTAGTGTAGAATTCTAATTGAAAAAGATGATTTATTTCGATTTTTTATGCATTTTAGTGCAATCAAGAAAACCAATTTACCTGCCGGTTTTATTCTACATTTATTATTTATATGCTCTCTATCGAAAAATTACTAACCGCAAGAAACCAACAGCCATAATATTTCTTAACTGTATTAATTTTTATTACAACGTTTTCTAGAATTTTAAATTTTTGCTGGTTTTTCTTTATATTTTTCCTAATTTCCTGTATTTTTGGAGATATTTTTCTTCAGTTTCCTTTATTTTTGGAATCCTTTCCCGACCTTGAAATATCACTGCTACTCTTCGAATATTACAAGAAAATTTATTCTATTAACTGAACCTAACCGAATAAATAACGGAATCACCAAAAAATATTATTCCATTTTTTTTCTCCACATATTATTGAATTATTTGCCGGCGCGCGTAATTAAATCTTCACGTTTTTATCATGCAGCTTTGTGACGGTATAATTTTCCCGCCAATCCGCTTATCCCGGGATCAGCCGGGAAAATGCGAAAAAACATCCCCTGACCGCGACCGCGGCGGATGAAGTAATCCGATAAGAGAAAATCTCTTTTCTGACGTCGAATTACGCGCTTACCCCGCTCACAACGTAATAAACCTGTCAGACATTTTTCGATTTACTCGTGGCGTCGCTTTTCCCCGGCGGAAACTGTACATTCGCTGTCTCTCCGGAAACACAGCAAATGCAGCCACGTTGCAGCAGCGTGCGCCTTAATAGCCTGGTCCATCACGCAAGTGGCCTATTATTTCCCCCGCGCGATCGTGAGCAACAAACGGGACAAAAAAATAAAAATGTCCAAAAGGGAAAAATCGATACATGTTTTTCACAGCGTCTAGACGCTGCCAGCCAGCCACGACTGCAGTGAATGTTTAATTTATCGGATTTCTTATTTCCCCGCCTTTTAAAATTAATTCAGAAATTCTTATGTTTTAATTCTGGACTAATTAAAACAAGCATTTCACTGCCAGATCATCGCCGGCATTTTTCAGTGCAAAGTTTAACTGCAGAATTAAATGATTTTTAAAATATTTAAGAGGGCAACATCCCGTTGTTGGATTTTATTTTCATTTTATTCGATTTATTGTAGTTTATTTCCTCTGTCTGATCATGTGAGTCCGCAGATTATACCATTTGCCAAATAAAAAATATGGATAATTTACGCAGTAAAAATTCGCAGTTACATTCCTTACTTGACAAGAGAGTACGATATTTTAAATAAAATATAGTTATTAGCAACCAACCATACAAAACATTTCTCTCAGAAAAAAACGACGTTATATTAATTTTCCTGCTTACTACCTTGTTTCGATAACACTGCTCGTAATTGTTGAAGATGAAGAAATATTCTACACCACTACACTACAACTGTCCATGCTTATTATTACTAATTAACTGGTTGCAAATCAGAATTATCTACATTAATTTCTGAAGACTTAATACGGTGAAAATCAGATACATATTAAGCAAAAAATTCCGAAAATTTTTATTTATTTTTTTATTAACTGCAGAATGTGATTACGCACTTAAGGCACTGTTTGGCGAAGATGTCCATGATGGTCTTATCGCGGATGATGGGCGTCTTCTGTAGCCAGGGCTTGAGATACTTCTCGTCGTAATAATCGAGGATCTCGCGCCAGTAATTATGCCCATGCCGGCCGCTGATCTCCTCAATGCCGGACATGACGTGGTCGAACAGGCACAGATTGGTCGCCTGGAAGATGCTGGGCTTCTTCGTCTCCTGCTTGCGGATGCGCAGCTGCTTCACCAACGGCTTAATCGTCGTGCCTGTCCAAACATCACCAGAACAAAAATTAGAATTCACTCGGCCAATTATTTTCGCTACAGCCTACACATACACATAAAAGGTCACCGTATTTTTTATCAACGAATTGTTTAATTATGGAATTAGAAATCTCATCAACCGGCATCAATTTCTATTTCCAAAATTAGAAAATTCGTTGATAAAAAAATACGGTGACCTTTTACGTTCACAATCCTGTCTCCTCTCTTATACGCAAATCACGGGACACGGTTGACTTTTTTCGTGGATTCTGAAGCGCCGATAAAAAACTAACTTGATTTTTTAAAACATTTCTCAGTCGAATTTTTGAATTCTTTTTATTCCAGTCAGCTGGACAGTTGTTGAATAACTGAGTCTAACAAAAATGACCAATAAAAATAACACTATTCAACTAGTAATTACTTCATCTGAATAGCAGAGAAATCTCCACACACAAATTGTCAGAGACCATTCTTTTATTACCGACACGTGCCATTACACTACGAAATCACCGTCACCAGTCAACCGGTCAATTCTAAAATTCTGTGTTAAAGCCAGTATTTCCTGATTGCCGACAGCCGTCTACGCACAAATGAGCGCTGCATTATTTTCACATTATTCCTGTTTTCCAAAATTTTTATTTTCCTTATATACCTTCAAGGGTTAAATAAAACGATTAAATGCCAGAACACCGATTGTCTTTTTTCAATTAATTATTTTCAGTGACGATACAAAAACAACAGATTTCTAAAATTTTAACTGTAGTCCGATTGGGAAATTATCGAATAACTGAGGCCTAATAAAAAAAAATTGAACCATTCACAAATTAAAATTCTCATTTTCGTAGTAAAGAAATCACTACGCACAATTAAAGAAACCGTCCACGGTTGGAATGTGCCAGTACACTACAAAACGGTTATTTTCGTACTCGTATTATCACTCAATGTTTAATTCTGCGTATTAAAACCAGGATTTACTGACAGAGCAATCTAGAAATAAAAGCAGTCAATAAATAAATACACAAATAAAATAAAAAATAATATACACATAAAAGGTAAAAATAACTTACAAATAAAAGCAAACCGTTAATAAAACCGATAAATTTAATAAAAACTAATATAAAAAAGCCTTAAAAAGCAATTCACAAATAAAATTAACGGTTAATCATTTTAACGTTATTCTGTCATCCTCGATTTTTAATCTCTTTCCTGTGCATTTATTAAAATTTAAAAATAAATAAAATGGAAAAAAATTAAAGATCTGTTATTTTTAACGTTATTCTCTCATGCACGATTTTTATTCGCTTTTCTCTGATTTTAAAAACAATTTCAAATGTTTCCGAGATGGAAAAAAATCGTTTTCCCATCGAAAAAAATTCGCTCCAGCAGCCAATAATCATTCCAACGCGAGCCATCCATCAACTCCGCCCGCGTTCAAACACCGGCGATGACAACGCCACGACACTGCAGATTTGCAGGCGTAGTGGAAAAACGGGTAAGAGATACATTGGACATTAATTCCCAGCGCAAACAGCGCGCCGGGGAAGAAAACCGGGAGGAATGGGAAATCGATGGAGCGAGGGAGAGAGAGAGGAAAAAGACAGCGGAGAGAGAGTGAATTAAATAATCACTCCACACCGGCCTGATGTGGCCATTTACGTGTTTTCCTCGTCCATTTTTAAACAACGCACTCGCTCTCGTTTTCTCTCTCTGTTGTGCTTCATACGGCCAATCGAAAATTCCCCCAACCGCCCCCACTAAATTCCCACTCCATATGCTGCGTGAGAAAACAACTGAACATCGCCGGTGTCAGTTTTCCAAACACGCACGAAATTACGGGAAATAAGAACATAAATCAAATAAAAAATAATTCAAGAACAAAAATGTTCTCACATCGTTTATTAGTATAGCCAATTTATTCCTTTAAAAAACCTACAGATTTTCAGATTCAGATTCAATTAATTTACGTTTCCAAAATTCCAGCCCAACCGACTGTTTTGCGCAGCGTGCGTGGACTACTTTCAGTTGTTGTGCTTATCGGACGGGAGAAAACAACCACACACCACCGGTGTCATTTTTCAAAACGCAGAGAAAATACGACAAACAGTAAATTAAATAAAAAAATTAAACGCGAATCACACCAAGAAAGAAATTCTCTTGGTTCGCTTATTACAGTAAAAGTGAAAATTTGATTTTTCGTCAGGGGGAAAAAATAGCAGACTTTTATCTCGATTGCTTTTAAACTCGGCAAGCGTACAGATACGTAATGAAAGTAAATTCGCCATACCGTTAATCCGCAAGATGTGGCATTGCACTACGAAACTTCGTATTACTGAGGAACGGCACAGTCTGGGTAATTTTGATTTCCACTGACATTTTATATTGCATTTTCTTTTTTACTCGTAAGTAAAGCAGTACTGAAACGAAAACGATAAAATGACGAAGAAAATCAAAAACATTAAAGAGAACTGAGAACACAATATAGGCTGCTCCTAGCCGAAAACAAGTCACTCAAAAATAAATCAAATCGGGAAAATATGGAAAAATTAAAAAATCAAAAAGCAACGAAAAACGAACAACACCAAACAAATCAGAAGGAATGGAAAAATAAATTCGAATTCGGAAAGCAATGGCCAAACAAAACCAGTAAAATTAAATGAGGAAAAATGGAAAAAATTAAAATTATCGCTCAGGTTAAACAAAGGGAAACTGAAAAATGCTGAAAAATAAAATGATAAAAATTCGAAAACTGAAATCAGAAATCGGAAAACAGTGGAAAATGAAAATCGAGAAAAAAATGAACAAGATCGACAATAGAAGTCAATAAAAAAATTAGAAACGAAATATACAGAAAATAAAACTGATAATCAGTGGAAACAATGAAAATTAAAAATCAGGAAACCTAAGAAAATGACAACATCTGAAAACAAAAATGCGAAAAAATTGTAAATAAAAATAAATAAATACATAAGTTCAGAAGAAATAAAAACAAACTAAAAAAAAATATAATAATAAATTCAGAAAAAATTGCCAAAAGCGAAAAAAAACGAAATAAAAGAAATACCTAAATCCAGAAAACATAAAATGCAATAATAAATTCAGAAAAAATTGCAAAATAAACCGCAAGACGAACAACAGTAAGAAAAAGCATTGTGATAGGCACTGACCTTGGATGAAGACGGTGAAGAGGATGACGACGACGGTGGTGGTGACGAGCATCTCGCGGTGCGGGAAGTGTTTGGCCTGGAGGAGATTGACCAGCGCGAAGGCGATGGCGCCGCGCAATCCCCCGTAGGCCATGATGAACTGCTCCTCCAGGTTGACCTTGCGCATGCGGTTGATCTTGTTGGCCAGCCAGGTCAGGCCGAAGACGCCGATGAAGCGGTAGACGATGCAGAAGAGCAGCGTCCACAGCACGAACCCCGTGTGCCAGATGTGGCTGTCGTTGACGATCACCAGGCCCAGCACCAGGAAGATCACCGCGTCGCACACCGCCCTGTTGAAAAAAAAATGTTTAAAAAATGGGAGTTTGATAATAATAAATTATTATAGAAAACGAACTGAAAAATAAAAAAGCCCGCACCGCGCTATTTAAAAAAAGTATTATGAATGTTTATCTAATCGCATCACACCCCGCGCTATTTAAAAAAGTACTGTACAAAAAATGTTTAAAAAATGGTATTCTGATAATATTATTATATTTTAAAAATGGATTAACAAAATTAAAAACAGCACAAATCGCGCTATTCAAAAAAGCATCATAAATGTTTTAAAAAAGGTATGCTGATATAAACAAATCATTTTTTTAAGGACTGGAAAAAAAGCACAAAAAAATCGCGCCCATAAAAAAGCATAAACAACACTCCAAGACAAATTTTAATGAAATCAGGATTTCGCAAACACACTTTCAAATTATAATTCAAAAATGACACATTGCAAAAGTGATCTTTCACATTTCTAATCATCAATTCTAATTTGATGTTTGGAAATTAATTTTAATCATTTTAAAAAGGTCAAACTTTAAAAAATCCATTAAACAACTTTTTTCAAATCAATTTTGATTATTTCTATCGTTTTTTCATTCTAACCGAATTTTTTTTATTTTTTCTCCAGGGTTCTAATTTTTAATGGAGAATTTTAATATAACATTTATTTCAATTTCTGGGAGCAGAAAATCCAGGTGAATAATCAGCGTGCGCCCGGAAAAAAAAATCAATTATTAATTATTATGAAAACTGGCATATTTCCGACGGCTGGATGAATGCCGTTTCCCGGAAAAGCATCGCGGGTAAATCGAGCGTTGCGTGCGGCACTTTACTGCGTCTCTTACGCGGCCATTTTGCTGAAGTATTTCACGGTGGTGCGGGACTTGAAGGAGACGTTGTGGACGGCATACTGCCACTGCAGCAGTCCGCAGGTGATGATGGAGATGATGCCGGACAGGTGGAAGAGTTCCGCCAGGATGTACGACGTGTACGCCATGATGAACATGGCGATGGGCTCCACGACGCGCACATGCTCCGTGTACTTCGTGATCACCTGCCGCATAACAACAAAAAACGTCACCAAATAATTTCGATTGCTTCCCGTCGATGCCGGTAAACAACGCTGCCGAACCGAATTTTTTTATCCATTATTTTGACAATTTTTCTTCGATAAATCCTATACGCATTTTGTCATTTAATGCGTTACTTTTACCAATTAACATTTAAAAGATGAGCATTAATGACCATTTTTTGACATTTAAAAGATGAACATTTTAACTCGTACTTCCCGAAAAACAACGTTGCCGAAAATAATTTTTTCCTGAATATTTGGATAATTGTTTCATTCGATATTTTGCGAATTTGTTTTCGCGATTTTCCTGTTCCAATATTTCTACTCGGCAGTAAAAATACTCCATAGGGTACATTTCGTTTGCAGGTTTACTCTTCGCACTTATACGAACACTGGTGCTCATTTTACCATTTAAGTAGAATTTTACAGCTTTTATACTATATAGCATTTTTTAGCATTTACACGAATATTCGCACAGCAAATTTTCTGCGGCAACTTTTCGCACTTTATTCAAATTTTACGTTCCACTATTTCTCACAGTTTTGTCAACGATTATATTAATTTTTTTTCATCTGACTTTAAAAAGATCCTGCTTAATTGCGTCTCCTCATCTTATTTAAAATTCATTTTTATCTGTTGTAGTTCTCTTTATTTATTATCAATATTAAAATCCTGCTTTAAAAATTCTGTAAATATACTCGAGAAATGTTTTTTAAACTCTATAATATTTCTCCGAAAAATCCCCGTGTATGCAAAACACCCGGAAGACGTAAACAAACACGAAAAAAAATCAACTATGCAGCCAACTTCACCGGCATCTTGTAGAAACACATCCGCCGCCGTAACCCCCGGCATCTACCGCAAAAACCACCTTGTCAAGTGCCGGCACAAGCCAACTTGAACCCCTCAAAACCCTGACGTCAGAATCTCTCTCGCTTAAATATTCCCGCGCATCCGACTGCACGGCATGTACACATCCCGGAGTTACATGTTCCAAAATGTAAATGCCACACGGGCTAATCGAGCGCATATATATCCACCGCCGGCACTTGACGACGACACGATCATCATCATATTCACAACAGAAACAGATAGAGTGTAGCGTAAAAGCCGGTGTTGTCCGCCCCACGGGCAACACGACCTTTTCCGCTACACCGATTTTTCACCGGCTTCATCGGGGGATCGTTTTCCCGATCGAAGCCGGCATTTTTCTACACACGGACAAATTATTACGTATAAGCGAAGGGATTGTCAGTGTGCAGCGGATCGTTCACGGATATAGCGATCGCTTATTTATGCCCAAAAGACCGTTAAATTTATTGAATTTTCTTCTATTTAAAAATATGTAAAAGAATAAAAATAAAAAAAATGCAAATAAAATTAATAATAATCAAAAAGGTGAATAAAACCTTTTTCTTAATTATTTTCAAAAGAAAATATAAATAATAATCAAATATAAATAAAACTGATATTACAAATACATGAAAAAAATTTTTCAAATCATTTTTAATCCAGCATACGATGCGGCGACTCTATGTCGCCGTTTCCGGCCATTCCAGGAAATCTACAAAGTTTCTCTATTTCCGTTCCAGTAATGGATCGATCAGCCCGTTCGACCGGCAAAACGGTCTTTTTTTCTGCAGCGTAATTTTTGCTCACATTATGAGTCACATATAATCCCACATTAAATATTTGAATTTATCGTTAAAACAATTTCACGAAGCAATTTGTTGTGTCAAAATTTTCTCTTGGAAAAAAAGCATGCCAATATAGAGCAAATCATTTTTAAAATAAAAAAATCATTAAATCATTCTGAAAAGTTGTCGGGCTATGCGTTGCTAACTGAAATAAGAATATTAGGTACGAATGGCAAACCATTTTTTTGTTAAATAAATTCCTCTGCATGTTTTTTAAAAAAGCGCAAATAAAAATAAAACTAAAAAAAATCCGGTTAATTAAAAATCTGATTTTTTCCCATGAATATCGTGCTCGATTTTTTCCGGTTTCACCTGCGGAAAAATCCCTTCAACACTGGCCAAATTTTTTGCAACCCAGTTAATCTACTTACACAAAAAACACTCAGGAAAAAATACAAAAAAAGCCTTAATTCAAAATAAATTCACCGTGGACGTTCCGCGAATTTTTTTTTTAACAACTGACACATTCACCGGCAAAAACAATGCCCCCCATACAGGCGCACCTAATCCCCTTACACCGCCGAAAAAATTCCCTTCTCCGATTTCCCATTGACCGGCATCAGCGCGCACACCGTATTGACAAAAAATCCCGCATCGACAAATTTATATACATTTTACTGCCGCGTCATCGCGCGACGCCAGCGTCATTTGATCGGGCCGGTTCTCTATTTTCCTCTCTATCCGGGGCCGGCGAAAAAAGCCCCGACGCTTCATATTCTCCCTCCGCCTGCCAACCTGATATATTATATTAAATAATATAAATGTATTGTGTATGCGTGACACCGCGCGCGGCCCCGCCACTCCACGCACCGTCAATGCGGGAAATTCGATACCGCGTTCAATATCTATCGAGACGATCGGTGGCTATGTTGCCAAATCGATTTTTCTTCCGGCTGCTCTCCATTTCGCCCCGCCGCTCGACTACCCGCAATATATTTCACAGTTAAAACAAACACTCACCAGCGTGCAAATACACGGCTGGTTTCGATCCAAATGACAGTTTAAAAATCGAAAGTTAAAAATTATAAGTACTCGTATACAAGAAATACAGTTGAATAATTCACAGAATAATTAAATTCAAAAATATTGACAGAAAACGGTAATAAAATAAAAAGATATATGGACAGAAAACGGTAATAGTAATAAAAATAAACTAACCGGAAACGGTAAACAATTTTAGGAAAATTGTAATAAAACGTATTCGGAGAAAACTGGAAGAAAACTATTTACGGAAAACAGGCAAATAAATTTTCTTAGAAAACTGAATAAAAATATTTACAGAAAGTTCAAATAATATAATATACAAAACAAAACTCACAAAAATATTCACAGAAAATAAAAAAAATATTTACAGAAAATAAATAAAAAGAACTGACAAAAAATTTACAGAAAACCCAAATAAAAACGTTCTACATATTACAGAAAATTAAAATAAAACTTATTTACAGTTTACTGGAATACAAATTCAGAAACGGACAATAATAATAAAAAAATCGGAAGCAAAATACGTACTTCTTGGGTTAACGATGAAGAAAATAGATACCAGTGTCTTATTTAAAATTCTGCGGAACAAATTACTACATCGGTACTTCCTTAAAGTTAAAAAATTTTCCCTTTGATTTTAGAGCGTTTTCGAAAAATATTTTATCCGGTTTTTGCGCGGATCAACTTACAGCTGTGAAAATGCCGCAGCAGGCGCCGATGACCAGACCGCCGACGCTGACGGTGAAGAAGGACGCCACCGCCTTCCCGATATCCCCGACGGTCACTTCCGGCTGGCTGGCGAAGGCCACCATCATGTTGTACAGCACCACCGTCACCGCGTCGTTCAGCAGCGACTCCCCAAACAGCAAAAAATACAGCATGGCGTTCACGCTAGAGCAAACAACAAAAATAAACATTAATCGGCTACAATTTATTTGTTTATTTTTTCTTATACGTTTCCGTTCTAAAATTCAATCCTACTCGGGTGTTCAGTGCTTCCTAATCTTTTTGGGACTAGGTATTATTTTTATTAGCATTATTTACTAATATTTTATTAGCCAGCATTTTCCATTTGGAAAACGATAAATACTTTGTCAAAGTAATTATAAAAATAAATGTTTCCTGGAACAAGCAATCAGTATTTTTGTTCTTAATTTCTTCCCGATAATAAATTTCAGCTATAAACTCGCAGACGTTGAAAAAATATTGTCAAGAAAAATAACAAGATATTTTCTGGGATTAACAGAAAATTTACTGCGAATTGTTTTACCTGTTTTTCATCAATAAATTTATTTTTTTCTATAAGACCATAAAATTAATTTCCTTCTATAAAAACTCGTACTAATATATTTTCTGGGACTACCAGAATATTTGTTGCGAATTTATTCCAATTTTTTCGCTAATAAATAAATTCCCCGCTAAATACCAAAAATTAAAACGCCGATAATCGAATAAAAATCCCGATATTTTCCCAGAAAAATCGTGCTCAACATAATTCCCGCTAATCTACCAACACCGCTCCCAGCGATATTTCCCCGTCTCCTCTCGCGCATCAACACCCCAACCGGCACCACTTACCACTTAACCCCACCTCCCGAAACCGCTCTAATGCACTTGATTAATTTAACCCTAATTTCATTTGCACCCATCCCCAGTCAAACAGCAACGACGAGCATGTTAATTAAGACGGATCCGATATCACGAGGCGATCCTCTCTTAAGTAACAGCCAGCGTCTGGATCAACTTCCGCTGACAAATTAACGTGTTGTCCCGGCCTCACCCCGCTCTTGCTGCCTGCGCCATCGATTTTTACTGGATTTTATTCTCCGCGGCTCACCGGGGATTTTGTTCCGATGGTAGCCATATGGTCATGCCGAGGAAAACGGGGAAATTAGCCGAAATCTCCCAGGGTGGGCGGTGGGGTGGGGGAGAGATTTTTTCCTGTAGTTTAATTCTAGCTAGAAACGGTGTGTTCCTGCGGGAAGAGATGCCGGGGAATCTACCTCCAATTAAATTAGATTTGCCGGTTGGGGGGAGCGGTAAACAATTAAAAATTAATTATTCATTTCCGAATGCTGCAGATTAAATTTCGTGGAAATTCTTCTACAGGAAAGTGTCCTTGAATTTCCTTCGAAATCCGATACTGCCAGGTATATAATGGAGTTGCAAAAATTATACAAAATTAACTGCAAGAAAATACGAATCCTGCATAATTTTTTTAATAAGGAAATAATACTATTAATGGTTTTGTTTTAAGAAAAGCGTTTATTTCATCTTTTTCCCATCAGAAAAATAATGCGATAAAAAAAGATTTTTCACCGAAAAATTTCCAAAACCCATTTCAAAAAAATTCTAAAAAATCTCAAATTTTTAAAAACATTACAATAAACAAACCAATAAAAACTGAAGAAAATCAAACAAAAAACGTCTCGCTTAAACGGAGATGGAAGCAACTACGGAGTAACATTTTTTACCATATTCTGACATCTTTGATCAGTAATGAATATTTAAAAAAAATAAAAACCAAGAAGAACACAAAAATAACCGAAAATCGTTGGCGTCTACAGATTTCTCCAAAAAAAACCAGTTTAAAAAAATAAAAGAGCTTCCCTAACGATGAATACCGGAAATAAAAAAATCAAACCGATTCTTCAACGATAAATACTTGAAAAAAATACAGAAAATTCCGGACGTTTAGGAAATTTTCCCGAAAAACACTGAACAATATTTACAAAATGCGCGCAATGACGACGGTTGATTTTAATGCCGGGACAAATCAGCCGGCAATTACGGGCTGACACCCAGGGGAGGCAAAACGCCGGGCGCAATGCAACCAACAACATATGTTTCCCCCGGACCCTGGCGTTAAATGTTTAATTGACGCTGCAGCCGGGCAGCGTTGTTGACAATAAATAATCAGGCTAATGCACAGGCTTCATCCCAGCGCCCGGCATTTAACGGTACGGCGCTGCTGCACCCAGCTATTATTAGCCGCGGTGTTCAGCGCCGTCAAATGACGATTAACTCATCTCTCCTTCTCTGCACCCCGGCGCATGACGCGCGGCCCTTCCACGAAACACACACACGGCACAAAACAGTGGACTTTACGCCCGCTAATTCCCGCTGCATGCTGGGAAATATTTTAAGTACCGTGTTGTCCGTGATGGAGAAAACAATGCGATTAATATCCGGGGAGACTGTTTTCTCACATGTTGTCTCACATTTTGACCCTGCCTGCGGGCAATTTGGGTATTTTTCACGGTTAATCGGTTATCGGCAATAACAGCAATTTTCGGATAGCTGCGGGGAGATGCGTTTCCAACCTAATCATTTTATTTCTGCACGAGAAATTAAATTTCACTACATGCGCGCATTTTCGGACATTTGTAAAAATTAACTATCAATTTTTTCTAGCAGAATTTTTATCTTGAAAAATCCGCATCCCCATTCTCACTTAACCGAAATAATTTGGGAAAAATTAAAAAATTGCAGGATAAAATATTTTTAAAAATTTCTAAACAAATACGATTAAATTTCGAGAAAATCGAAATATTAATTTTTTTTGAATCACAAGATAAATTTCAATCAATTTAAATCCGAATAACGCAGAAAAATTATCCTGAGCAAAATTACAGAGCAAATCTCATTCTAAGCAATTACGAAAATTGTAAATCAAAAATCACAGGATAAAAATACAAAACAATTGCCGGATAAGTACGATTAAATATCGGAAAAACGGGAATAATTCGCAATAATCAATTAAAAAATTCCGGCACTCACCCCACTTCTTGGAAAATGGCCAGCACGGCCACCGGATCCACAGCGGAGATGAGACTACTAAAGGCCAGACACTCCGTCATCCCCAGCGTCAGCGCCCCCATCCCGCCCACCTTGGCCAAGCCCCACAGCGTCGGCCCGATGGTGAACGCATTAAACACCGTCCCGAACACCGCGTACGTCAGGATGGTGCCCAGATTATTGACAAACTCCCGATCGTGCAGGGAGTACGCGCTCTCCAGCATCACCGGCGGCAGGAGGAAGAGGAAGAAGGTGCGCGCCGAGAACTCGAAGTAGGAGGAGGAGAGGGTCAGTTTATACGCGTCCAGCAGACGGATGAACCCGCCCACGGCCACGCCCAGCACGATCAGCATGCAGGACTCGGGGAGGATGGTGCTGAGGAAGTCGGCGTGGTGGAAGCCGATCTTGACCAGGGAGGTCAGCAGGAGGAAGACGCAGACGACCAGGGGGCCCTCCACGTACTTCCAGTGCAGGGAGATGACGCTGATGCCGTGCTGCTCGTGGTCGGCGTCGTCGTCGTGGCCCGGGGTGGGTGTGGTCGTGGTGAGGTTGGTGTCAGCGGGGGCCGGCGACACCGGGTCCATGTACGGATCCGGCTACGCAAAAAATTATTTTCCACCATCCGAAAAAAATCAAAAAATATATTTTTCCAATAATTAACTGAAAAAATGGATTTTTCAAATATTTTCCATCTTGCCCTTCAAATTTTTCCCAGCCAGAAATTACAAAAATAACTATGGAATTATCTGGAAAAAATGGAATTCCTTATTTCACAAAAATCGAATTTTACCAGCAGTTCTCTATCGTTTGATTTTTATATATGTACCGCAATAAAAAATTATTTTCCACCTTCCGAACTGGAGTTTTCAGTCAGGATTTCTCTTCGTAAAAATTTTTTATACAAATAATTTTATAAAATTAATTTTTCCGCATAAGAAGTTTTCCTTATCCACAACCTGAATTTTTCCGCAAATTATACATCGTTTTATAAGCCTAATTTCCCTCCGTTGATAATTTGATTGCGCGTGCTTAAAAAATTACAAAAATTCACTGCCCAAACATCCTAAAGTATTTTTCGAATTTAATTTTTATGACACCGATATTTATGCCGATAATATTAAGGGTAAAACTGGAACAAATTACTAAATAATAAAATTATTAAGAACATTGAAATAATTTTTGGGATTTAACAATTTTAATTAGGTTGTAAATTTATAATTAATTTTATCAGTGATTTAACAGTAGTCTTATGCACATTAATCTCATATACGCATGCGAAAATAATTATCGCTAGATTTTTGAACCAGACACGTTTTGCGCATTAATTGACTTGTCACTTGCGCCCATTAATTTTAATTTTCTGTTGGACTGCCTGACGCATAGCCGCGCCGGCCGTGCAGATATAATTGATAAGGACTACTTTATAAACGGATACACACATCAGCCTTCAATGGAATAATCAAAATAAACAATCGTTTCTAATTTCAATGGGGACAATTCGCCAGTATAATGCTTAATCAAATTTGCTATCAGCATATCAATTTTGCAACTGGCACAGCACTGCCACATTGGCAAAACGCAAACGATAACACAAACAGCGCAGAAACCGGTTAGCCGATAAAAAAACCCATAATAATTAAATAATAATTCAGGGGAATTTTTATCGCCGATAAAAAATACCGCGCGCGGCGCGCGCACGGAATAGGAAAAGAAATGGCATAAAAATATTTTCAATCTCCAATAATTTTTCGCGGTAATGATAGGAAATAATTCCGAAGAAATCCTGATTTACTCGTTAAAATAAAACATTTTAAAATTCTACGTCTGTTTTCTAGCAGGCGTGAACCGCACACAGAAAAATGCACTGCATTAAAATAAAATTAATTAATTTAAAAATAATTAAAATATTTTCACATTCGAAACGCAACATACATAAATAACATATGTCGCAAAACTGCGATATTTCTGATAATCGCAAGTTTGCAACACAAACGATACTTGGTATGATTGCTTATTTTTTAAATTTAAAAAACTACATTTAATTCCGAAAATTTCCCACGAAAAAAAACGAGAAAAATCGCGAGCCATGATAAAACCAAAAAATTCAATCTCAAAATTTCTGTATTTTTACTGGTAAATTTTCCATTGGATTTTGGAAGTTTCCCAGCAAAAAGACAAGCCAACGACGAAAACACTGCGCGGAAACTGTTAACAGCTTCAAAAAAAAAATCTACTAGAGAAATTGGAGCAAAATGAAAAATCAACGGAGAAAAATAAACAGAATTCTTACCTGTTTGACAGCATGCGCATGCGCGGCGCCATCCCTCCTTTCCCTGTACCCCACCGCCTCCTCTTCGTAATCCCACGTACTACGCCGCGGAATCCCCGCCCCCTCCACCCTCCCCCCGCCCCATATACTGCACAAACTGTACCCCAACACCCCCACAATCCACCAGCGCATCATCCTCTTCCCGGCGCTCAACACGCGCAGCAAACCCAGGCGCTCTAATCACTCACTACAGGGAACCCACGGGCCCGCGCTGCGTATCCACGTGCGAACTCGCTGATAAGGATCGGGCGCATGCAGCAGCATCCGACGATTAAATGAATCCCTTTATCACAGGAATAATTATCATCATGACACCGGGACATTCCATATAGCATACGGACGGGGCACACACACACACCGGGAGAAAATTACTAGTGCAACAAGGGAATTAAATATTGGAAATTGAGACCTGCAACGCCGACATTGATTGTGTATGCGAGTGACTGAGTGAATATGTGTGTGTGTATGTGTGTGTGTGTGCAATTATCTAGATCGTCGATCGGCGCTGCGCAACAAACAACCGCCCGGTGACGTCATCCGACGGAAACAGCGTCTCATCAGCGTAGGTGTCAATTCAGCAGTAATTTCACAAACATGAATTTCGTCCTCAAAAGGAAGATACCAACAAGAAACGATGCAAAGTGGTAGAGTGCCTGCAGCCTGTTTGGAAGATGTCAAGGTGGGCGCGTTATGGAAAATTGCGGGTATTTAATGGAGGGCCGTGTTTTGGATCAATGCGGGCGGGCCCGGAGCGTGCAGGCTGGCAGCATACGGTATTACGGATGCTGTACGCTATAACTGGTATGAAAAGTTGAAAGTGGATGTTGTCGATTGAATCCGCCGGCCGGATGTGCCAACGCACATCCGAGTTCAACGTGTACGATACACTGCAGCGTACTGTTGCAGTTTTTGTCGGGCTGTTCCAGGAGTGGTGTAGTGTTGTGCCGCAGTTGTGCGAAAACAGTAGCGTTGTATTCACCGGCAGATCGCTCTTAACAACTGGAGATCCAAATGCATGCACGTACATGTACAATCTGACTAAATGAGGAGGCTACGGTCTATGTTAAAAAGCCAGCGAACAGCCTTTTATGCCCGCTGAGGCTGGTTGATCAATGCAGCCTCTCTGTTGTGACTATAAATAGACTGAAGACAGCGCATTCCGGTGCTGCCAAAAAGCGCAAGCGGAGTGCTGCCTTGCTGTAACGATCGATCGCGCACATGTGTGTGTGAGTGGGTAAATCCGCTCGCATTCACTTACACACGTATGAGTGTGGCTGTCTGTGCGCGTACTAGCTGAACAAACCGGTTTTCGCTGTCTTCGCTACAACGCATACCCTAAACCCGTAGCTTCCTTTCTTGCTCGCATTGTATGCAGTGTGTGTAGCTTACAGTATTGTACACTTCTTACACTTCTTGTACACATCAGAAGTTAGGGAAGTACGATGGACTCGCGGATCGATACGTAGTACAACCTCTGGCTTTTGAAACTACGGGGACATTTGGACCACTAACAAAGAAATTTTTCAAAGATCTGTCAAGAAAGATTTGCGAATGTAGTGGTAACCCTCGGTCGGGAGAGTTTTTGCGTCAGAGAATCAGCATTGAAATACAACGCGGAAGTGCTGTGTCTGTCCTCGGAACATTTAATGAGATGCGAGACAACGAAGACGTTTTTTTAGCGTTTAGATTGGCTATTCGGGAATGATTGGAGCCCGATGTTGTATTTCTTAGCAGCTCCGCTGTGATTTTGTTATTATGCAATAAAATATGGCTTCTTCTTGCCATTGTACATTTGTATACCATAACTTTTGAACGATATCGGTACACGCGAAAAACAACGAAATTGGGTTAGTTTAAGTATTTGAAACTTACATCGATATTGTTAACGATTCGGCACCACTTCCAGCGCTATAAATATCTGTTATGTCGTCTACGACCATACCACGTAGAAAACTCCCGATCCCGTTCGATCTCGGAAGATAACCTACGTCGGGCCCGGTTAGTACTTGGATGGGAGACCGCTTGGGAACACCGGGTGTTGTAGACTTTTTTGCTTTTTAAATAGACGGCTTTTATGCCTGTTAGCTGACTATACTTACTTTATTGATATTTTTTGTTAATTATGAACGCAAATGTATTTAATTAAAATTGCTATTAGTAATTGCGACGGGTTGATTCGGCATCACAACCGGCGTCAGAAATACCTAAGAATTTGTCTACGACCATACCACGTAGAATACTCCCGATCCCGTTCGATCTCGGAAGATAACCTACGTCGGGCCCGGTTAGTACTTGGATGGGTGACCGCTTGGGAACACCGGGTGTTGTAGACTTTTTAACTAAACGCATTTTTGACCTGTTAATTATCCACTTGTACTATACAAAGTTACTTTTAATACTTCTGGAAGCGTTAATTATTACAATTTTCACCGCATATAGGTTTCTATCTCAGTTTTTATCATAATTATTACTATCATCATAATATCATCATATCAAAATGTCTTAATTCTGCTTATACTGTAGCAGTTCAGTGACAGGCATCGCAAGCCGGCAACGGAAATAAAAATTTCTCTCGCCGAGTCGCCGTTAAAATGCTGTATTTCGCAGTCTGGAATATTATTGTTTTGATTCCGGGACCATACACATTTACGGTACCGGAACCATGCAAAGATGTCCCATGTTCTACAGATACAAGACTAAGTTACTTGGACTGTTGGACAACACGTCCAAACACAATACAGGGTAACCAATCCTTACGCTGCAGCTGCAATTTTCTTCATCATACTTATTTGTTTGCGCCCGTAAAACCTAATGTGGTTATAGCCAGCGCCCAGCGGCAACATTTTTCATGTCTTCCGTTAATTACGAGTATGATCACAAAGCAGGAATACCGGTTAATTAAATAATTACTATTATTGATTGTTGCTGCCTTTTGGCGGCTTTTTCACGTGGAATAATTACCCCATGCAACAGACCAGCTCCGCGTCTAACGCTTCGATACCTTACCTTGCATTTGTTAACACGAAGCGTATAAAGCGTTAACTGTTTATACGTTTTCAAATCGTTTGGCGACCGGTATCTGCATGCATTTAAATACGCATAAGATGTCCGACATCAACATGTGATAAATTACACTACTGTGGTGATTTCTTTATTAATTTATTAAATGCAGCTAGTACGCGTAAACGTGCATGTGGGCTCAGAAAAATAATATAATGTTACAGTAGTTTGACCGTCTCCGTTGTTAAATTTTCAAGATGTCGGACAATATTAGCAGTGAGTTTGAACCGGTGAGTTTTAACGCATTACAAGCGTCGTGTAACTGGCGTAACGATAGCGACAGCACCGCGTCGGAAGCCGTGCGAAGCGCAGAACGGATCCTCACCCCCATTTGGCTGATCCTGTGCACGGTGGGCAATGTACTGAATATTCTCGTATTGCGGACGGTATCCACGTACCATGCGACATGGCTGCTGGCCATGGCTGTATTCGACTTATTAGCCATGTAAGTTGATGGTTTAACGATGCTAGCGTAATTAAATTAAACCACAGTACTCTGTAGTACCCCAATTTTAAATTTTAATCACATAATATACGTACAGTCACTCAGCGTTATAAAAAGTGTTATAAAATTGTATAGCATCTGGTTTTGGTTCAGTTCGCCTTTACATGTGCGTGAATACAAGTACTTACCTTCAACAGGAAAGACTCGAGAAAACTCAAGTCAAGAACCTGATTTTGCTGCACGACAATTTTGCTGCACGACGACACGAAAATTTTTGCCCATTTTAATTTGCCATATTTCAGCAAGTGGAAACTGAGGGACCGCTACGCTTGTTTTCCGGCCAATATAACTCTACAAGAAACAGCCTCGGCTTCGCCTCCGCGTTTCTTGTGGTCAACGGCCACTTTATTTAGTTTCCGATGAATATTTATTAAAATAACATATTTCGTCCAAGCATAATCGGTACATCGTATTAGCGGAAAAACCGGATTTTATATAAAACACGGATTTGATTATTATACGAGTATGACTTTTTTAATCAGTTCATGATTCTTTCGAATCACTCTAAATTCTCACAACTGAATCCATGATTCTGTGATCCTTAACCTGATTAATCTGGGTAGTGGAAGCTCGGTCACTGGTTCTGCATGTGACGAATCTGTGCAATGGACAGAACTGTCACCCGCTTGCCTAAAGGGTCCGGTACACTGGACAGTACCGTTAGCTCGGTCACCCGCTGTCCGCTGACCTAACCGGTCTCGTACACTGGACAGTACCGTTAGATCGGTCATTCGTTCCCCTAACGGGCTCAAAGTAGTAGCGGTAGCAGGGTCACCGGCTAGCTCGTATGCCTAACGGGCCGACAGTACCGGTAGCTCGGCCATCCGCTTACCTAACGGGTCCGGTAGACTGGACAGTACGGGTTGCTGGGTCAACCGGTGACTGTGCACCGGACAGTATTGGTAGCTTGGTCATTCGTTTGCCTAACAGGCTGCTCACATTGGATGGTATCGGTAGCTCGGTCACCCGCTCACCTAGCGGGTCCCGTACACTGGAAAGTACCGGTTGCTCGGTCACCCGCTCGCCTACAGAGCTCTGTGCATCCGCTAGCTCGGTTACCGGCAGGCTCGTTTGCCTAACGGGCTATTTGCGCTGGACAGTGGGGTAGCTTGGTCATTTCGTTCGCCTAACAGGCTCCGCACACTGTACAGTGTCGGTAGCTCGGTCACACGCTCACGTAGCGGGTCCCGGACGCTCGATAGTAACGGTTGCTCGGTCACCCGCTACCTAACGGGTCCCGTACACTTGACGTAGCGTATCAGTAGCTTGGTCATTCGTGCGCCTGAAATATGTATGGCGATGAGGCACTGGACAGCACCGGTAGCTCGGTCACCCGCTCACCTATCCGTTCCCGTACACTGGACAGTACCGTTGGCTTGGTCACTCGTTTACCTCAGGGGCCTCGTTTACTGCACAGTACCGGTAGCTTGGTCATCCTCTCACCTAAGGGGTCCCGTACACTGGACAGTACCGGTAGCTCGGTCAATCGTTCTCCTAACGGGCTC